TCCAAAGGCGTTTAAATCTTTATCATTTTTGAGAACACAACTACCCAACATCCTCCCCCATCCTTCAAGCTACCATGTCCTGTTGAAATCATCAAAATAGCTTCTCTTTCAGTCAGATCTCTGCCATTTCCTTTTCAGAATCTGACAGAATAAGCTACAATTGGGAGAACATTTTTATTTTAACCCTGTAATATAGGTTGTCTGTCTTGTCTTCCACTTCCAACCATTAAACCACCAATAAAACCTTTAAAATATATAAAATAAATATCTTCTCTTCCTCTAATCCTCTGATAGCTTTATCTTATTTCTCCTCCTTGTGTGACACTTTTAAGCTCACATTCCCTCTATCCCCTCTGCTCGATATTCCCTTCAGCTTTACTGGTGCTTTGTTGTGGCTTTTTCTCTGACCTCTCAGACGGGGTCAGACTCTGAGCCGTTCTGCTGGTAGCTAATGACGTCCTGATATGTACAGCTGGCGTGTGCACGTCGGAAAACTGCAGCAATAACCGCTGACATGCTAATGGCATCTATTGGGATTACTTGCTACACAGATCGCTGGCTATGGCGGATGGGGAGCGTCAGTGATCTGATTGAGACAACCTTATCTTGTGCCATAAACAGATAACAGTATCTGCTCCTCTGCTGTTCCTGTGAGATGGAGGAGAATAAACAAGCCTGTCATCCACAGCGTCTCCAACTGGCCCTATGGCACAGACGCCGTCCCGGACCCCAGGTTTGTTCATCACCGAGGGGCTCGGATTCCTTCATGATTACCCTCAAGCTGAAGATGTAACAATGACCAAAATCCCTTTAGGTTGAGTGCTTCTGACGTTGTTCCGTGGCTCAAAGCCTCAGGTTTGCTGATTATGCGAACCACCCGACAAGAGCAGGACTTTTTGCCCTAATTAGCTCAACCAGCTAAGGGGCAAAAGCACAAACAGTAAAGCCACATAAAATATCACAAAAATCTAACAAAGACCTAAAGTGTAGCTCTAAATCAGGCCTGTTGCCTGCAGCCACTGTAGACAAAATAAACATGAGAAACAAAGGAAATACCATGCAGCACCTGACCCACAGCCTCAGCCCTCCTCCTCAGAGGGATCTGGAGGTTGTTCCGTCACATCCTAAACACCTGACCTGCATTTGCCCACTCACACAAACACACGATCAAACATCTGCTCCATGTCTGAACCCACACTCATGCAGCTGAGAAGTCATCAGGTGGCCTCACGGAGTTTCTCCAAGTGGTGGGTGGCTGAGTGGGTGAGTGTGGGCTGACAGCTGCGCTGGTGACGGAAAGGTGGAGCGGACTGGCAGAAAGCAGATAAAATCTCTGCCCTGCTGCCTGAGAGCAGGGGGCAGCCTCATTTAGCAAATGGATGATATCCCTCCTCCCCTCAAAAAGAAAAAAAAAGCACTGCTAGTCTAAAATGACTAGGTGAGGAAAATGAAAACCTGCTGTGCACATGAAGCAAACCAACACCTGGGAGAGATTTAGCGTGCACGGGCTCCTGCTGGAATACGAGAGAAGCAAACGCTTTGCATCTAGGAGGGCACGCGGTTCCACATTTCCAATTCAAGTACCGTCACTAAAACGCTCCGCCAAATCACCGGCTCTGAATAACCCCAAAACGAGGAGCGAGTGGCTCATTTCAGTCCAGAAAAATCATCACATAAAAAAAAAAAATGTTGTTAGCCAAGTGATTTCACAGTCAACAATCACAGAACAGGACAGTTAGTAATCAATGTTTTAATGAGCCCCCTGTGAATCCCAACAACAGCTGAAACATAAAAGCTGCTCAAGTTCTCCGGTTCACTCTTTTTACCTTGTGATCTGTAATTCAGCCTTGCTCTGAAGTCCCAGAGAAATAAAACAGTTCTTTGATGTTATCCTCTTATTACTGCTGTCAGACACAAGGCTAATGTTGGGATTCAAATTACCCACGACTTCTGCTGCACAGAACATCTGGACCTCCCTTTAGACACAGTGAAAGTTTAGATTTTAGTGTAACAGCTGCATTGTGAAAGCCACATTTGAACTGTAAGCTACCATCTAATCTATGTTAATAAGATACTTTACTGAGAAACCATCTGATCGGTCACTATGCGTTACAAGTTAGTCGCAGAAAGGAAATAGACAAGAACACGACTGGGTCCGAAAAAGCTCATCTCTTCTAGGTGACCGAGAAAATTAGTATTCATGGCCCCACCCACCTTGGCTTGGTACTGTCCACGGAAAAGAGAGAGTGGCTCAATCCCAATACTCGCACTGCGCCCTACGGTCTTCTGGGATGTGCACCTGGAGGAAGTGTGCAGTAGGACTTCGAGTGTGTAGTGTACAAGTGTGCAAATAATAGCCGAAATGGGAGAGTGACCGCTGCGTTACCACTACGCATGCCGGGATGCCGGTCGCGGTTTATGCAACTTTGACAAAGTTTACATTAATTGCTGTTCACTTTAAATCTTAGTCTAAAACATTCAGAGAATGAGTAAAGAGCATTAATCAGCTTAAAATAACTTCTTTTGTTTCAAAATATATTTCTTCAGAAAAGGCACTTGAGCCATTGTTCCGCCTTCTTCTAGCAGCAACGGATTGTGAGTCATACCCATCGCCCAAGTTTGCATCGATGTGGACTTTGGCAAAGTGCGGATCAAGGGTGCAAAAGGGTGCAGCCAATTTCTGCACTTGAGGATCGGGAAAACCTACGCACTCGCACCTCAGGACTGGAACCCATGATTGAAAGACGCAAGGGTGGAAGAGCGAGTATTGGAATTGGGCCATTGTCTCCGCTAAGCTAACTATTAGCATTAGCAAATCCACAACATGGGAGAACACATTCAGGCTTGTGTTATTTATTTGCAACAACGTTGCATTTTTTTACCCAAAAAAGAAGAGTGAAAGAAGGTAGCGGAGGAGTCGCGTTGCGGTTAGCCAATCAGAGGAGAGAAAGAATTTCAATCCCGTTGTTTTCCGCTCACCCATTCCCAACAAACGTACCCCCTCATAAGGCATTTTTTTATGTTTCCACAACCAAGAAGGTACAAGCAACCACTATGCCACTCAAGTTTTGAAAATATCACACCCCTCTCTCCCCGAGCACATCACAGATCAATATGTTTAAATATATTTGCCAGAGGCTTTGCCGGGAAAAGGAAACAAAGCAAGCTTGCTGTTCTGTCCGTTTGCCCTCAGCAAAGACTGTGGATTTGTGGTGACAGGTCAAAGAGTCAGCACATGACTCACGCGCAGAGGAGGAGAGACACTTTGCAAAGCCACGCAGAGATCTAATTAACACATGCATTCAAGTGGTATTTCCATTTGGTGGAACGCAGTAATTTTCTGCATTGCTGACCAGCGTGACATGAACAAATGAACCAGGTGCTTCTGACACTCAGACTGATTGCCTGGCTTTTAAAACTAAGAGCAAACACAAATGATCATCTTCAGACTCAAACAAAAGGCAAACGCACCGAAATAAACAAAAACTAAGATGACCTTGTGTGTACTTAAAGTCTGTTGACCATAGCACCACAAAGTAGATCTACTACATTGTACATGGCCAGTTTTGTGCATTTGTCCTGCTGCTGTCATTAGTGGTGAACTGCATTTTACAGATGAGAGGAGGCCTTACAGTAATTTGCTGCTAAGACCTAATTAATCTTCATTGTGCTGGGAAACATAGCACCCAAACGCAAAGGAGGTTCCTTCTGCACGATAATTGCAGAGAGTCTAGGGGCCTGAGCCTCCTGAACAACAAGGTCTGAAATTTAATTATCTGGTCTTTGGAAAATGTAGGGGGAAAGCTACAATGCAAAACTGCACTTTTGGGGCAAGTAATACCAGTCTCTTGTTTGAGCAAGCACAGGGATGTCACTGACCGTGCATTCTCCATGTCTCACCTTTGTTTTAGGAAAATAAAATAGCATCTTCTTACATAGCAGATTGTTTTAAATGGTCATGCACCTTCACGCGTTCCTGCAGAACATGCAAGCGGCAGCATCCTACCAAAACTTCCATGGTGGTCCTGTGGGTCAGAGGAGTTGCTCTGCTGCAGTGTGCTTCAAAAATAAAAAATGAAATCAAAATCCGTCTCGTCAACAGAGCCAGAGTCTGAGAAGCCAAAGACGACACGGACAGGCTGTGGCAACATTAACATTCCGCCGTGTAAAGATGAGACTGGGAGTGAGGGAGACACATCGATAGGATCCCATTAGTTAAGTGCGCCCTTAGGATACCCGAAATTTGATCAGAGATAGTCCCTCTCCTTCCAGACACGATCCATTATAGCAAAAAACAGAAAGCTGCTCTGCTCCTCTCAAACTCCTGCACTCCTCCTCCTCCTCAGTGGTCGAGGTTGATGAGCTCGGTGACGTCAACCTTTTGTTATCACCTTTAACACTTGCCTCTGCAGGTGCGAACACTTTCCTCAGTCGGTGCTATTTGCAGAGACGCTGGGGAGCAGGAGGAGCGCTTATCTCAACACCCAGGCAAAACGGCCAATACTCAGCATCTAATGAACGCCAGCAGCCCACAAAAACATGCATGACACTCTGATGGAGGTACAGGTCATAAAATATTCCTTCAAGTAAATTTAAGCTGTCTTCTTTCAGGGGAACGCGAACAATTATCGGCCATGTGTGGTAGAAACTATAAATATTACAATAATTAAAATTATAGCTGGAACATTTTCCTATTTGTTGCAATAATTCAGCTGGGAAGTGCTCAGTCTCTAGAGGCTGCTGTCACATCGCAACATAAAACTAGCTACAAAGCTCTACAAAACAATCCTGGTATAAAATTAGTAAACGCCAGCTTTTATATTAACATAAGTCCTTTTTGTGCCTAGAAATGTAAAATAAAATAAAAACCACAAGGGAAGGTGGAGGTTTTAGGGCGGAAAATACAGGGGGTCAGTACAAAGCTATAAACCTGCAGGTTGCCAGTTAAGAGTGCCAGCTGAAGGCTCTTGGCTAAGCTAACCAGACAGTCTGAAACGTACACAGACCCATTGTTGCTCTCCCAGCCTCTCCTCCTATCCACGGCTCGGTGCGTGAGGATGTCACGCGGCTTCGGGCGGCGGGCGCGTCGCCAGGATGCGGGTACTTACTCTCCGTTTTCCTCGGGGAAAGGCATCGTTTTTAGTACGTGGCCATGGTTAAAAACGGACAGATTTTCTCCCGGCTGCTCTCTGCGCTGACAGAATCACTGCTGCTGTCTGCGGCACCAACTTCCGGCGCATGCGCCCTAACCACTTAGGTTCCAAACTGCGCTCGTGCGCTGTCCAGGACGCACGAGCGGCTTAAAGGGACAGTGCGCGCGCGACTCTATTGGACGTTCTACATTTTTTCGACAACATTTGCAGATTTAAAGAAGTTAGCTTTGTAAATAAAAAAAAACTAATTTTATAACTTTTTAAACACAAATTTTGCTTAATTATTTTTTATTTTGCATTATGTTTAATACACACATGCTCTTCTGACACTGTTATCTACCTATTAGATAGATAGATAGATAGATAGATAGATAGAGAGAGAGAGAGAGAGAGAGAGAGAGAGAGAGAGAGAGAGAGAGAGAGAGAGAGAGAGAGAGAGAGAGAGAGAGAGAGAGAGAGAGAGAGAATTATTTTTGGTTCAAAATCATCTCTAATCAAGTTTATTATGGCATTATTTGTCTACAGCTTGAACATTTTTAACTATAAGGTTAGATTTCAGTCATGTTTGTCATCACTTTTGTTGGATTTGTGCTAATATTCTATGTTCAGAATCAATGTTTTGCCCCGTTGCCGGACTCATTTGTGATCACAACATGCATTGCAGTTCTATTGCAAATCAATAAACTGCATGATTGAAATAGAACGAGCATTTACACTGTTTCTGGATGAAAGGTCAAACTCCTTTAAAATATTTGTAGACTATTTTCCAAAAATACTTTTCTAGCCTGGCAAAATACAAATGTGTTTGCAGATATTTTACATGTGTACAAGATTCTACAGTACATGACATCCAAAATTTTCTCTAAAAAACAATGTTTATTTTATAAATCAAATATATCATCAGGATCTAAAAACTCTCACTTGGGTTTTTCATTTAATAATGTATTTTTTTCTAGCTGCCTCTTTATTTTCTCAGATTACCAAACAGGTCAAAGTGTTATTCTCATCTGGTTGACGATTAGCCCAGGGTCCTGTAGCATTTTGCATCACCGTGTTCCTCACACACTGTATTGTTTTCTAAATCTTGTTGTGGAAGATAAAGCCAAGAGAGGGAGGACTGCTGGTCAATAGTGTCACATGCTTTGTGATTTGATGAAAGGTTCCATTTGCGGAGGCTGATGTGTATAGCTCCCTAATCAAAGACTTATATTTGTGTGACAACTAAAATATATTACCCCGTCACAATCGCCCACCTGCACTCTCCGCAGCATTGATACCGTTTTATCACCACAGAGGCAGACGGACAACACCTGTGATGTGATAATGTTTAAAAGTCTGTGTGGAACCTGCACCAAACACAACCGAATTGGATGTTCCCACAGAAAATCACTCGTGTTTGGTTCCACAAGCATGTCTGACGAGGCACGTTGTGAAAGACAAGCCCAGGTTCCAGGACAGACTGAGCTTTATTACAATACTTCAGCCAATTTGAGCCTGCAAGCTTAACTTCCCCCCATCAGCAAGTGAAAGAGGCGAGAATTTGGTTTGAAAGCCCAATCACACACAGCGCTCCGAGTTCAGCAGGTGGGGAAGTAGCAGCAGCGGGCATCCATCAGGCAATAATACAAAGTTAATGATGCAGAATGGTGTCTTTCTCCATACCGAAGAAGACGTCAATACAGGATGTTTAAGAACGCTGTTCCTAATTACGCTTTTTAAATTCAACGCTGACGTGATTGATGATTTCAAAGGGAGGCATCATTGATCCACTTCACAGACAAGTCCCATCGATTGCAAGTCTACAATGAATAAAAGTTTTTTTCCCCCTTTATCTCTCCCACTGAGAAAGAGATTGTACAATCAGAGCATCAGTGCGACCTATATGGGTAGCTCTGGAGCTAAATCACCTCTTTTTAAAAGGAAGCCTAAGCAAGGACGTATGGAACAGTGATTGCTGAATCACGGGACCCTGGGAGATCTTCAAAGGCGTCACATACATTGTGACAGTTAAGTCCCTCAGTTCTCTCATTCTTCACATGTGGAAATGCATCCATATATTCATTAATCAGTGGGACCCTTTGCAAATAGCCTGTCTTTGTTGGAGTTCTCAGCGTGACAAAGTTCAGGAGTGGCTGTTTTATAGAAAGTCAGCCAGCTGTGCAGCATCACGCCTCTCTCTGCAATCAGTGGTGATGGAGTGATGGATGCTCTGACGCACTGACAGATTGTTTTTCCCCACCTCCACTCCCCGTCGACATGCCCCATGGCTTGTGCTTATACTCCATTCCTCCTGAGCGGCGAGGTCTCCTTATTAGTGCAGGAACTGACAGTCACTGCATGTCTAATCCCAGCAAACCAACCAGATTGAGGCTGCAGAGCTCGGCGTGGCAGAAAGTCCGTGTCTGACTCCACCTGGCTCAGCTGCAGAAGAATTCTGCATATTCAGGGAGATTTGACCTGCTAATGCAACGCGTGGCAGTTTAATTATGAGGAACCGGGTGGATTAGGCAGGAACGGCATGCAAAAACTGTAGCAGCAGAGAGGTTTTCCATCACAACTTGTTGGATCTCCATGGAAAGTACTCTTCAAATGGCAAAGTGCTTATGATTAAATGGTACGCAGGCAAGACCTTTTTGTCTTCTTTGCTTTTTTTGGGCGGTGTGTGTGTGTGTGTGTGTGCACAACTCTTTCTGAAGGCCAAAGTTAATGCCGCAATAGAGAACTCTGATACACTCCCACGTGAAGTGGCCATGTGAGGAAAGCCCAGAGGGAGGGGGAAAAAGCCTAGAATGAATTTGAGTGAGGCAGAGAGCGGGAGGGAGGCAGATGCAGGAAAAGTTCAAACATTACTGATCCTCAAATATCCTTTTTGGTTTCTGGTTCAATTGGAATTCTGCTGTAAGTGTCTGCTAAAAGCTCCATTTTTGTCGCCCCTCCATCGCTGCTGAGCTTTTAGAGCTAGATGATGACAGATTGTGAGTTACCTGATATCCTTCATCATTCTCCCCCAGCGGAGGTGTTTGTTCCAAGCCAAGCAAGTCCTCAAGGACTAACAAACAGCCGGAACATTTGATGGACTGCAGGGAGACATCTGCTCTGCCTGGTTTTGTCGTACACGTTGGGAACAGCATGTTACAGTAATCAATCAATATGCAAACTGTCCTTTTAGTCTGACGATTAACCTCACAGACCTCGTGGTTATGAAGTAATTATTTCAGGTCGTCATTGTGAACTGGTATTGAAGAGTTGCGGGGAGTGAGATTGACAGCTTGGGGTGTTTTCCTTCGCGTTGGCAGATTGCTTTAAGCATCGATGCTCGATATATCCTCAACAGCGTTGTCACAACTGTGCTTCGGGCACCCTCGGGGATAAGCTCTGTTCTGTATGCTCAGGGGACAAGAGGGGAAGAAAAAGTCTGAGCAGTGAAATCTGATTTGTGGTTACAGATGCAGCATCCCTCAAAAAAAAATAATCAAGAGAATACCACCCCTGCCAATGAATCCCGTGAGCACGGTCGTCCATTTAAACTGCAAGTTGCTCATGTCAGCAGATGTGTTTTTGCATTGTGGTGAGCTGTTTTGGAATAGCCGTTGGCTGTTTTAGCCTCGGAACGTCCAACCTGCTGTTGACAAGTGGTTCCCAAGCTGAGGCCCCAGGGGCCTTCTGGGAGTTACAGAGGATTTGATGCAAAATGATGCACAACAGAATCATTTCCCTCATGTGTTAGCAAAAATAATAAATAAATAAATAAAAGTAAAATTACCTCGTGCCTTTGATCGAATTAATTATTTCCTCTCATTGAGCTCCCACAGTTCCTCTCAATTTTAGAGGTTCTCTTCACTTTTGGACATTTATTTTTCTATGAAACCTCTGCTGCTCTGGGGTAATTGCAGCGATTAACATCTTTATGATGAATGACAAAGTTGTTTACACACAGAAAATTTTGAGCGAGCACTCCGAAAGTCAGGTAGCGCCTGGATAAGACCCCAAAGATATGTCTGAGCTGTAGGCCGGGAGCAAAAGTGAGACGCAGGCTATGGAAGAGTAATATATTTTGTCTGTCCATTTTTATGTGGAGGATGGTATATCTTAAAAGTAAAAGATAAATGCTTAGAGCCTAAACAATGACAGAACAGTAGTATAATTAATGCATTTGTTTGGCTGAGATGTGGCTGCAGGAATGTGTCCCAGACACGTCTCTGTGCCTGTCAAAATAGTTGAAGTATGGACACAACACCTGACAACAAATATGATTCTAGACAGGCACTAAGCAGATCATCTGCACCCTGGACATTAGAATATTAGAGATGACACCACCTGAGTTACTTGTAGCCGTGATAACATCCTGCTACAGTTCTACAAAGTCATGGTTATTCTCTCTGCTGCACTTCCAACTTTGTGTGCATTTCATGTGCATGCAAAGGTTTTCTCAAATGACTTTGGTTTCCTTCCACTGTACCAAAAACATGCAAGTTAGGTTCATTTGTGATTCTGAACTGACCTTGGGTGTCTTTACGCTGGCCCTGCAAAGGACCGGCAAACTCTTTGGCCTGCCCTTATGCGAATATAACGTGGTTACTTTCTTTCATAGGTCTTTTTATTGAACTTAAATGATGCCACAAATAGGTTACAGTTGTACAGTGTCATTTTGTATTTTCATTCACTCCCAAAACAGTTACCTATTGACAGGAACACCTCGGATCTAACCTCCCACCCCCTACCCACCCATACAAATACCGAAAGCAAACAAAATAAAAATTAAAAACTAACAAAAATCAGCTACTCAGAAATACGCTGCCATCTTATATTAACTGCGCAGGAAGTGAGGTGGTGGGGGCTCCAAGCCTATATTAACCTTGGTTCCCAAATGCCTTGATACGGCCCTGGATGTGGGACTGACTTCTGGGGTGATCTGATTCTATCACATGTATAAATATTGAATGCTTATATATTATTGCTTTTCACTGGTAAAAATGTGTATTGAGGATAAATCTACCTACTTTTTTCTTTTTTTCTTGATTTTATTTGAATAATTTCCTGCCCTTTCTCTCCCTAACCTTCCTGCATGCTGCACGTTTTCTCCGTCTTCCAGAAAAACTGTTTCCTAGATTTCCAACTTTCTAACTAATTAGCCAAAGGGATCTACCCAACGCAAAAAAAAAGAAAAAGAAAAAAATAGCTTAATATGCGCTGTGCTCCAGCAGCAATGAGTTGAAATCACCGGGGCATAGATTATGAACTCAGCTGAAAAGTACATGAAGTACCAGAGAATATGGGCTGATATAAACGATCGCAAAAGAATTTCTTTGTTTTGGTGGAGCGATTTTGTGAATATAACAGCGGCCGCGTGCAGGACGCAGCTGGAGTATTTGAGCCATTACTGCTGCGTCCTCTCTGCTCATAGAATGCCCGCAAGGCTGAATCCATAAATGACGTAGTATATGTGGATACTGGATCTTTTTTCAGGCATCCCGCAATTTGAATTTTTAGGAAACCCACATCTTGACTCTGGGTTTAAAAATGCATTGTAATTACCGCCTTACTGACAATTGTACCGAGTAAATATTACCATTTTCTTTCCCTGTAATGCCTTACATTACCACATTACAGCAAAAAGCAATGTATTACAGTAATGAATTACTTTTGTACTGCGTAACTCCCAACACTGATGGTCACATAAAACAACATGCATGAAATACATGTGTATATGTAAACCTGCTAGGTCAAACAAGAATAAATTGTCTTTCTCTCTTTCTGTTCACACAATTTAATATGAAAATCGATAAGAAATTGACATTTATTGTCCACGGTGAATGTCCAAATGTGGGCAATAATGTTTTTTACATTTACATGAGAGCATACATGTGTGAAAGATGAACCAGTTAACTTTCCAGATACATAGCTGCCATTTATCGTGTGAGTAACTTGGTCATACACAGCCTACTCATAGTATTGACCAATTGTTTCAGATATTTCTTTAAAATGTTGACCTCACCCATTTGGGGTTAGCTGTCAAAGTAAGTGTTGCGCGAGATCCCGCAATATTGTGTGAGAATATGTCTAAACATCTTCAAAAAGAAAGTTGTCATCATTAACTGTTTTACCGTTAAAAGTATGCTGTGGGAGGTGGTGGGTGATATGTAGTCATTTTGTTTTACAGTAAAATGTATCTGATTTTACAGAATTTCCTTGAAAAAAAAGTGACTAGCTGGTTAGCCGCTAAGTGGCGCTGTAGTTTTCAACCAGCGCTCTTTGAAGCGGAAGTGACTCGTCGTTGTTTAAAGCAACATGGTGTCGCTCTATGAGCAATGTGATTGTAAACAAGCTAACATCTGTAGCAGTAGAAGGGGTTTATTAGCCGGAACACAGTAGCTGCTGATATTATTATTTTATTATTTGAGAGCTAGATGGCTCTTAGAGTGTGTGGAGTTTTTATCCGGGACGTCTCCGTCCTTTCCAGACGACTCGTGCTGTCTGCTCGGCAGGAAAGTGCGTCATGTCTTCTCACCGCAGGTCAGTACCCCTAAAAACGGATTTAAGTGTTTTGTGGCTCTGTGTTGGGCAAGACACGTTTGTTAATTCTCAACGTAACGTGGGAAATATATGACGGAAGTCGCACTCTTGATTATGTTACGTACTGCCGTCAAGCCAGCCCTCCTTCGATTTTTCGCAATCAGACAGTTTTTGAGAAATTAACCATTGAATATGGTGAAAATTGTCATTATTGACAAATTTGATTGCAATTTATTTTGAAATGCAGACGCTAGGGGTTTAGGGGTTCTCTTGGACCATAAACTTACTTGGAAATCCCATATAAAATATATAAAACAAAAAATATCCAAAAGTATTGGAATTTTAAACAAAGTCAAAGGTTTTCTAGAAATTTCAACGCTTCAGACATTATATTATTCATTTGAATTTGAATTATTCATTCATAAATTCATTTGCGAATTCTATATGAAGCAAATCCGAGAGAACATACTAACAAATATTTTGTTCTATCTAAATTTATGGAATTCAAAGACTTAGTTAAATTGAAAATTTTACTAATTATGTTTAAGGCTAGAAATAATTTACTGTCAACTAATCTACAAAGGTTCTTTGTTTTGATCCCAAAAAATGATAAGAGTAGAAAGAAACCAGAGTTTAAAAGGATATTTGTTTGTACTACATTAAAGCAAATGTGTATTTCAGTATATGGTGTGAAATTATGGAATAACCTGGATGATGAATTTAAAAAAAGTACAACTACTGATCAATTCAAAAAAATGTATAAAGATAAAATGCTAAAATCGTATGATTTGGTGAGTTGAGGATGGAGGATTAATGTTTTAGTAGTGATATTATTTGTGGAAGTAAGAGAGCGGTTTATTTTTTGAGTATAAGGCCATTTTGTACTTTTCGTTATTTATCTTGGCTTAGTTAAAGGGGGTATGTCATATAAGATTTTTTCTTCTTCCTCCCCCTATTTCACTCGAATGCTTATATTCTGATTTGAAGTTTGTATATTTAAACTGAGTGAAATAAATTATTGAATTGAAAATTGAAAAAATGCCACATCGGATCTTTATGAAAGTCGGGGAGGATGTAGTACTCGATGTGTACGTCCGGACTGATGTGGAATATTTCGCAATCAGACAGTTTTTTGAGAAATTAACCATTGAATATGTTGAAAATTGTCATTATTGACAACTTTGATTGCACTTTATTTTGAAATGCCACATCAGATCTTTATGAAAGTCGGGGAGGATATAGTACTCGATGTGTACTTCCGGACTGATGTGGAATGATGTTTCGCAATCAGACAGATTTTGAGGAATTAACCAATGAATATGGTGAAAATTGTCATTATTGACAACTTTGATTGCACTTTATTTTGAAATGCCACATCAGATCTTTATGAAAGTCGGAGAGGATGTAGTACTCGATGTGTACGTCCGGACTGATTGGAATGATGTTTCCCAATCAGACGGTTTTTGAGAAATTAATCATTGAATATGGTGAAAATTGTCATTATTGACAACTTTGCACTTTATTTTGAAATGCCACATCAGATCTTTAAATCGTGTTCATTCTTTTAATTAAAATAATTTTAAAATAGACAAAATCATTAATAACGTAGTTTTTCTTGCACACAATGTTACAGAAAATTTTATTTAAATCATTTTTATTCTTTTTCTTTAAAGTATTTTTAATAGATAAAATCATTAAAAACGCAGTTTTTTCTTAGACAAAATTTAACACATACAGAAAAAGTGTTCATTAGCACGTTCAGACACACATCCTAGAAGTGCGCTTTTATTTTGAAAGACACTCCGAACGATGACACCCTAAAAATCGCCTGTAAAAATCGAAGGAGGGCTGGCTTGACAGCAGTTGTTACGTGGCTGTTAGGAATTCACAGACTCAGTTGTAGTGAAACAGAAGTCATTTATGCATGAAAACAACAAATGAAAAGAATAATTGGGAATACAAACAAATATATTTTCTAAAACAATTTTCAACAAGTGTAGATAAGTTGCAGATCATGTGCTTATTCTTAAGTCCTTAAAAACGTGTTCATTTAGAGCAGTGAGATAGGTGCACTGAGATCCTCTTCAGTCCGCTTGTCCTGGATTTTAGGGCCCTGTAGCGCCTCCTAGAGGCCAACAATTTACCTGGGTGGGTGGGATGTATTTACCAGGATGAAATAGGCCCTCCTGAAGCAAGAGGATCTGACTTCCTATTTAGAGAGCAAAGGGAAACAAATATGTTTGTGCTGTGACGATGACCTTCTGTAGGGCTTTTTCAACTGCTGGAGAACCGCTGACAAACCCAGTTGAGGTGCAGCGTAAAGTAAAATGTGATTAGTCAGTTCTCCCTGGATCAGGACCTGTTTTGCCCATCCAAGTTAAATCAACAGATGTTAGTTGAATTTGCATCAGCAGTTGCACTGACAACTTCCTGGTGGGACAGCAAGGATAGAAGGACAGCAGCAGTTTTAGTTGCATCATCTTTAGTGTCCTCACACCCCCAAATGCTTTAATCTTTAAGGACCGGATGAAAACTAAAAGCTTTGTCATCAAGTCTAAAAAGAACAATTTGTTGAAGAAGAACCAAACTTCAGTTTTAATGTCACAAATTATACGTTGTGGTCTTTTTAATGTTAGACAACAAGGCTGTTGTTTTGAGCATGCACGTGCTGTTTGTGTTGGTGCTGGAAATTCTGAAGACAAACTAGACACAGCCATTCCCACTTATTAGAGTAGCTGGGTAACCATTTGGTTTTAGTCTGCAAAATTCAAAACTCAGTTTTAAATTATAACTTGTGTCTTTTAACCCGCTGGAGAAAGAAAAAAAAAAGCAAATCAGCAAAATGGAGAGCTGGAGCCATTTCTGGGTAACAGTGGGTTCTCTGAATTAATATATGTATATATATATATATATATATATATATATATATATATATATATATATATATATATATTAGGGATGTAAGAAAATATCGATATGGCAATATATCGTGAATTTTTCCCAGCAATATTATATCGATATTAAAAAGCCGTGTATCGGAAATATTGATATGGCAATATATCGTGATTTTCCCCCCTGTAATTATTACATTGAAATTCAAAAGCTGTGTATCTAATTCTTGAAAGAATTTACATGCAAACATTTGTGTATTTTCTTTTCGTTTTGTGCAATTCAATCGCCACCCGCTAGTTGACAGCAGTGTGCAACGAGTTTTGTCTCCACCATTGAAATGTAAATCCCTCCCTCATGGTTCAGATACCTCATGTTAAACATGTTACGTATCAGTTTGGACAGTTTACTGAACATTCTTACAATAAATTCAGTAAAATAAATTGTTTGTAACGTCTGACTGAATGTATCGCAATATATCGTGATTTATCGTATCGTCTCCCCTGTGTCGTGATGTGAATCGTATCGCCAGAATTTCAAAAATACACATCCCTGATATATATAAAGTTTTCTCATTTTCTTTGAAGGAATTTATAATATGGATAATGTTAACACACACGTAAGCATAATTACTCAGCTTTCTGCGCTGCTGGCAGCAAAGTGATGGAGATGTTGATGTTTCAACAGGAAATGCTGCCTGCAGCCGAAGCAAGAGGGGCGGATTCACCTTCACTCCTGCTTGTTTTATTACATCCGAAGCATTTCTCAGCAGACTGATGAAAGGAAAAGCAGCTGAAGCAGACGGCAGCACTCATCACCCTCCAGCATCGGTTCCTCCACACAGCAGTAAGCAGCCTCACAGATTTACTGGTCTGGCTTGATTAAAAAATAAATACACACCGCATTTTGTCACCAACATGATGCTCTTGCTATTTATGGTTGTAATTGTAAATATTTGATCTTATTACAGATGAACAGATAGGTTTATTACTGAGACATCCAGACCAGCCTCCTGACTCAAAGGTGTTAAAAGTGGTCATAATCGGTGCTCCGAATGCTGGGAAGTCCACGTTGTCCAACCAGCTGCTCGGCACAAAGGTTTTTATCCTCTAAACCTGCTGGTGTTTTCATTTGTACTGTAAAGGGCACAGCGCTGTAAACGTCTGTTCCTTTCAGGTGTTTGCTGTGTCCAAGAAAGTTCACACCACTCGGTGCCGCAGCCTGGGCGTCCTGACGGAGAACGACACACAGATTGTAAGTTGGGTGCTTAGCTGGACGTGTGAGAAAAAGGCCTTTGTTAATCATTTTTGTGTCTTTATTTTGCAGATTTTGCTCGACACCCCTGGTCTCACCACTCACTCAAAGGTCAAAAGGTGCAGCTTTTCATTCTAACTCTACAATCTCTGTTAGGCTAATATCCAGTGAGTTACACAGACTTGTGTTTTCTTTACAGACACCATCTGGATAAATCTTTGCTTGTGGATCCCTGGCTCTCTGTAAAAGAAGCCGACCTGAGTACGAAACATTAATCGTCTAGACCTAAGCGGCTGTTTTATTTTCTGTGCTTTTGTGATTGTGTGACCTGAAGAGTTGTTTGCGGGTTTTAATGTGAAACTGCATCTCTTCCCAGTGGTGGTCATGGTGGACGTGTCTGACAGATGGATGCGCAGCAGGCTCGACTATGAGGTGCTGAAATGCCTTGCCCAGCACCCGCATATCCCAGCGGTCCTAGTCCTGAACAAGGTACGTTCTACTGTAGTCAGTTTTCATCAGTAGATCCTCTTCAGGCCTGGTGGATGCCATAACGGGCATGTTTGACACGTATTATGACACTTCTGATGCTTTAATTAGATAGTCATTTGCCTGTTTGCACACAGAGGCTGGGGAACAGGTCATGTAATTGTAGAAGCGCGAAAAATCGTCACATTTTGTAAAAGGCACGAAAAAGAGGCAAAAACAAATGAATGACAAATGGTGCTACTTGGTGGATCAGCGTAGAGCATTTTTAATATGCTTAATGCTTCACATGATGTTATCCAGCACAAATGTATCTGAACTGCTCTTTTATTGGCTGTGCAAAGAAAGAAAAACAGAATTTGAAGAATGGAAAACTCAGATTCGTCTTCTTCCAGGTTTCTGAGTCAGATTTAAGGGGGCAGCAGCCCTAGGCGCTCCTCTCCCCAAACACATCACCCAGCTCTTCTGGTGGGACCTCAAGGTGTCCCCTGGCCTCCCCAGAGATATAATATCTCCAGTGTGTCCTAGATCGACCCAGGGGCCTCCTGTCGATAGGACATACTTGAAACACCCCCCTTTGTAGGCATCCAGACAGGATCCTGACCAAACACTGGAACTACTTCAGCTGTGGATGAGCAACAGCTCTACTCCGAGTCCCTCCTGGATGTGTGAGCTCCTCACCTTATCGCTAAGGCTGAGCCCAGCCGCCCTACAAAGGAACCTCATTGTAGCAGTAGACAACAGTAGCTCAGGAGATAGAGCGGGTTGTCCAGTAAGTGGAAGGTTGCAGGTTCGATCCCAGCTCCCACCAGAGAATGCTGTTGTTGCGTCCTTGGGCAAGACACTTAACCCGCCTCGCCTGCTGGTGGTGGTCGGAGGGACCGGTGTCCGGTGGTGCCAGTGTACGGCAGGCCTCTCCTCTGTCAGTGCGCCCCAGGGCAGCTGTGGCTACATCGTAGCTCATCATCACCAGCGTGTGAATGGGTGAATGAATGATTGTGTTGTGAAGAGCCTTGGGGGGTTGTAAAACCCTGAGAAGGCGCTATACAAATACAGTCCATTTTGTTTGCTTATAGCGCAAGCTAGATAAAAATGTAGCCAAGACAAAGGAGCTCATAATATCTCTTAAACAAGATTTTATTATGGAACCAGTTTTATTCCTAATCAACCTGTTGAAAGTGTGGCACACTTTAATTATTTAAGCTCATTCTTAGATTGTCAAACACTGATTACGTGTTAAAGAAAAGCTCACAGAGACTTAAGCTTTTGAGAAAGCTCAGAAGTCTAGGTGTCCGTCGGCAAACCCTAGAGCTTGTTTGTAAAGCAACTGTTGAGAGCAGTTTGACTCTACATTTCCCGGCCTGGTTTGGTCATGTGAACTGCAGATCTAAGGCCAAACTTTTTAATAGTTGGCAGACCACAAAAACTGTTTGTCAATTGGCTGCTGAAAGGATGACGAGGAACACTGCGGGGAACATTGTAGCAGACAGCAGCATCCACTCTTCTGTCAGTTTGAACCCTTGAGCTCTGGAAGGCGTTACACGGGGCTTCTGGCAACCAAAAATATATATAAGACATATTTGTTCCTAGTGCTGTAATGATCCTTAACCAATGTAAACGATAAAATCCAACCATAGGACATACTATCACGTGAGTGGGGGTGCAGATTTTTGTTTTTGAGAGCCGAGGGATATTTTCCACTACGGTGGACGATAACGTTTTATTCTATTCTATATTTGTGGTTTTGTTCTTTTGGTCTTGGTCATCACCCAAAGTTCAGGTCCTGCACTCTGTCGTGTTTTTAAACCTCAAAGAACAAACTGCAAATAATTATAAAGGAAATATTAACATTTGAACGTTCCACGTTCATCTCCAAGAGTTGGTTAGTTCCATCCTGGGGAATTTCTTTGCTTCAACAGACAAAATTACAACGAAGGACTAAAAAAGTATGCAAAACAGAGCAATATAATATAGAATATGTAGAAATGACTGAACTTTGTGAATAAGGGTGACAAACTCATAACTCATGCTGGGACGGGCCACAAGGGGGCACTTGTTTTGCTTCAGTAATCATAATTGTAGAGCAAACAGCAGAGTACCGAGTACACGGTCTTGTGGAGCTCCTGTGTTGACAGTGAGGCTACCACCAATTAAGTCTAACACAAATGTCAGCCGAGCCCTAAATCCACAGTCTACCTGGTTCAAATAGATCTATAATAGAACTATAATCAACACAAATGCACCATTTATTTGTTATTCCTCTCGCCTTGTAGAACATGCCTCATTCACATTAACAGGAGCTACAGAGCTGTTTGCCTGTCTCTGTTTCTGCCTTCTAGGTGGATCTAATGAAGTCCAAGGACAGGCTGCTGGATGTCACAGCACAGCTGACAGGTGGGGTGGTGAACGGTCGCAGGATACAGGTCAGGCCAGTGATCAAGCCCCCGTGGGCTGAGAAGATACCCAAGAGTGATTCAGAGCTACCTCCTGACGGGGACACTTTGGTGCACGGGGACAGTGAGACGTCAGACTCTGCACTGAGCAAAAAGCAGCTGAAAGAGCTGAGCAGTCAGCAGGGTTGGCCTCACTTTAAGGATGTCTTCATGCTGTCGTCTGTGGACAGAGAGGACGTGGAGACGCTCAAGGTGAATTGTTGTGGCTTTCAAAGTGATCTCATGAATAAAGTATTGCATTTAATCGGTGTCATCTTTTTTTCTTGTAGACCTATTTTATTGTTAATGCTAAGCCGGGGTCGTGGCTGTATCACAGCGAGGTCCTGACGGACCAGAGTCCAGAGGAGATCTGCACCAGCATCATCAGAGAGAAGCTCTTGGAGTATCTGCCTCAGGAGGTGCCTTATTCCATGACACAGGTGACTAACGCGCCGTGTTGACAGTCACGTGTGACAGCCGATGACGCTGTCTTGCAAATGCCACTCTGTCACCCTGTGGCCTGTTTAAAACCCGATCCTGGCTTCAGTTCTAAATGTTTACATGTAGATATGATTCCTGCTGGTTCAGATGAACTCTCACCGTTTCTGAGCAAACCCTGTACTGGTGCAGTCTGATCACACATCTGGATCCACTTTAGGACATGTTCCTGGTGTTGACTGGACTCTGCTTCACAAATCTAGCCTCTAAGAAATAAGAACATTTTAGATTTACCTTTTTTTTTTATTTGAAGGTTTTCTTAACTTGTCTCTCTTTTCAGTCCGTTGAACTCTGGCAAGATGGAGAAAATGGGCAGCTTGATATTTCTGTGAAACTCTACGCCATCAAAGAGTCCCACATGGTACGTAGTCCCACACATTTTTAGTTCGTTCTTCTCGGCTTTAATTGGACTTAGTGATTTCCACCAAGCGTGACCAGCTGTATGTCCACCTGCTGTTTGTTATAATTATCCTGCGTGTTTACCGTTAGTTTAGCATATATTTATATTGTGTCATTAGCCGTGGCAGCTGCCTAGGACTTTAGCCCAGAAATGTCTCAGCTGTTAGATGGATACAGACCTGCATGTCGCCTTCGGCGTAAACACCAATGAGTCACCTACTGACATGATGATGTCAGCATCCACAGCTGCACAGGCTGACGTTATCATTTATACGTTCCTACGCACGGTAGAAAAGGATGGGGTGTTACTGGTCATTTCCAGATATGGAATAGTATGGAAAATGGAATATGGGAGCACACAGATGTGTTTATTCACCGGCGTCTGAAAATAAAGAAAAAATGGTCAAATATGCAACAGGTTGCTATGAAACAAACCCGAGGTAGTCTCAGCAGAACCAGCATGCATCTCTGAGCTGCATGAGTGAGAAAAATAAACTAGAGATGCACCGATTATGGGTTTTTAGGGCCGATACCGATTAATCTCAAGTGGCTATAATCAGAATACTTTAAAGAGCAAGTCACCCTCAAATCTACATTTTTTTGCTAATAAACTATATAAATGAGTGTCTAGTCATGCTGTAGACACGTGTAGTCAATAATTTAGCTCTTTAGTGCATCTTAGTTAAAATTTCAATATTCTGCCTAAAACTGTCAGTGTTGGGCCGTCGTCAGGTAAAAACTCTGCACTGCATTTCAATTTAAATTTGCCATCGCTATTGGCTAAGAGGTACACTGTGACATTACCTGGTACATTATGATGTCACAATGTCATTGTGAGACTAAAACAGGAAGTGGGAGTGGAGTAATACTCGGGGGGGCATCCATTATATAAAGTTTTCTTTTGTTGCTTCAAAGCACTTTTAAAATGACTTGCCAGTGATCCCACCCCTAAAGCTGATTTTATTTGACTCTGAATGTTAGCACGAGTTCACAGAATAAACGTCCCGTTTTACTGACTTTAAATCTAAATAATTAGAAGAATGCCCTAAGAAAATCTTTTCATATTGTTGTTATTAGAAAGCGTTGTTTCCTGCTATCTCTCTTTAGTTGAATAAAGCTATTATAATTTGATTTAAAGCATGCTGAAAATAAAAATCTGAACATATTTCTGTACATTGGCTCAAAATTAGAAATTTGACTTCAGAAGTTCTGTATAAAACTGTCACAGTGTTGTAATTTGAGTGAAATCAGAGTGTGATTGATAAAATGGGACAAATCTTTGAGTTTGACGATTGAAAACATTTTAAATTTCGACAAAAATTGCAGAGAAAAGTTTATCATGAGAAACATTTGGTGATTGTGGTCATTTCATCCCAGCTTCTGCACATGATTTGAATGTAGCCACCGTAAGTGCCTGTTTCAGACAAATGGAGTCATGTATCATAAATGAACTCTCTCTCTGCTGCTTACAGCTGTGATGAGCTGTCGTTTATATATAGCCTTAGAGTCGCTGCCTCCTCTTATATCTCTAAATTCTTTCTTTCTTATGGTTTTAAATGTTTCAGCAGCCTTTCTACATGATGCATATTTGATGATATTCATAGAAGCATATTTTGTGCTGAAAGGCCTTTCTAGGAAGACTCACTCAGAGCAGCGTGGTTTTCATGATGGGGAACCCTTTTATCTCTTTTCTGAGTCGCGTCTGGTTTCCGACCATTTTTTTCTGCTGTAGTTGTGGTTCCTCACCTTGTTTCATTCCTCGCATCTGTAGAGTATGGTGATCGGCACAGCTGGCCAGACGGTGTCGCGGATCGCCCAAGAGGCGAGCGAGGACCTGAGCCGAGTGTACCTGAGGGAGGTGAGGCTGAAGCTCTCCGCCAAGCTGAAGAAGTGAAGAAGAGAAAAGGATGAACTGAAAAACTGCTATGATGTCGTCGTGAGTCAGACATGAATCTGTAAAGGACTGATGTTGTTCTCTGAGTTTTTAACGTTCAAGTTGTTTCTCTTATTTAAGATGCAAACAAATGTGGAAACGGCAGAATAAAAAACGTTTTGGATGGGAGGGGGGGTCGCAAACATGACACAAGGGGATGTTGTGACACAGATTTTGGCGGCGTGTTTACGGCTGAGTGGCTTTGGTGAGCTGAGAAAGGGCGGATGTTTTATCTGGGGCCCTCAGAGCCAACGTTAGATTAACCGAAGCTGCTCAGACGTTCCTGATGCCCTATTCTCTCTTCCCCCCATCCCCCCTCTCTCCGTCTACTCTTCTGGGTCTTACAGAGTCTAATTCTGCCCCAGAGGGCTGTTATTGTGTCCCTAATGGATGGCAGAGTGGAGCGCTAACTCAACAGTTTACTTTAACCAGGTCATATTCATGTTATTAATGCTTTAATATTCAGTCAATAAAAACAGAGATGCTCGTTTTAGGGGGAACATTCGTTAACTTTATTTAACATTTAGAAAATCATCTCAATAAGATGCCATTCAGCAGCGTTTTGTTGTCCGCTGTCCTCTGGGTGGGGACGAGAAGGAGCGAAGGCCGGGGAACCCTTACCATTACTAAAACTCAGTAATGGTAACGGTTTGACGGCCATGCTCAGCACCGGCGACTCTTGGGTCCGTTCTGATGGCGCCGGAGGTGGAATGAGACCCTGGATAGTACATCATCTATACTGTAGTGTCTCTTTAAAAAACTTACAGTATAAGATGATATCCTGTCCAGGGCACAAGACAAAAACGCAGAGACGATGGCTCTTGGTGTGTTTTTTATCTGAAAGAAAATTAAAAAAATAAATAAATAAAATGTGAGAAACATTTAAAAAGACTGGATTTTGAGTTTTCTCACCTTTTCCATAAAGCGTTGGACTTTCCTCATCGTGTTGTGTTCTAGTAGCATGTTGGTGCCACCTAACCGCTCTGCTGTTGGACTCTGACACTTAAAGGCCCTCCACTGCTCATTAGCATATCGAGATGACATCACACTTTAGGTTTCCTCCTTATCTGCACCTAGCCTTGTTGCTTCTGCTCAGAAATGGTCCACACCCTTCCAACTCCCAGCTGAACGCCTCTTTTAATGCCTTTTATACAGAAATGAAGCATGTATTTTATTGAGTTTGTTAGTTTTGACCTTTCTGATACAAAAACAGCCAAAGCATTTGTCTCCTTCAGACTTTAAATAAATGTAACGTTCAGCATCTCTTCAGTCGTCTGAATCTGCGGGATTTATGCGCCACGCTTTCATGGATTAGAGCTTAATACCACAACATGTCAGCTGCTGCTGGGATGTCGGACATTAAAGGAAGTGCGTTTCATTTTTAGATTGAAGGATTTGGACTCTGTGATGTGTTTTGGTGTTAGACGATGTGTCAGATTCACAGCATCGAACTACAGCCGGGCTCTGATGGAGCGCGTTAGCCGTTCAGGTTTGTCTTTAATCCCCGACAGCAAACGGGACAAAAAGTAAATCGGTTTTCAGATTATTTCATTCATCAAGGCCAGAAAGCTGAGCTGACCATGAGAAAAAGCACCAAGCATTTGTCATAACTGGTAATGAGTCAGTTTCTAACAGAACAGCTTTAATTCAGCCACAGAGGGTTTTCCAGCAGGAATGGCCTGTTTGAGGTCAAAGGTCACGTGTTCTTCAGGATTTCCTCGTAGAGCGCAGAATTCATAGTTAGGTCTGCACAAGCAGCAAAGCAGCCCCAGACCATCACACTACCACCACCATGCTTGACCATTGTTGGTTTTTTTTATTACTAAAAAGACTTTATTCATCCCAGAGGGAAATTAAAGGGTGTTGTAACTCATTTTATTTAGGGTCCTTCTGAGAGGATCTACTGACTGCAGGTCTGAAGAATCTTTGGTTCCACCCTGAACAGAACCAGCCTTCTTTATCTGGTTGTTGAGCCGTTTTAAAGCCCTGGCTCTGAAGCTGCTGTATGCTGAAACGGATGTTTAATTTTACCTGATATGTTTTAGTACTGGTTTCACTCCAGAAACACACCTTTCAGAAAGTTCTGCTTTTGTTTAGATCCTCTTTGTGAGATGGGTCTTTGTGCCGTTGTGGGTCAGCAGAGATTTTGGTCTTATCTTTCTTATTTTCGAATCACGACCTCTGACCTTAGCAAGAGAGGCCTGCGGTTCTGTTCTTTAGTTTCATGAGAACAAATCGCAGCGTATATTGCTTTACGAGAGCTTTTGGCCTCCTTCCTTTTGCCAAGATTAGGTGATTTCTTAATTCTGCAGGTCATGATGAGGCTGGTGGAACTAAACTCTGCTTTTTAAAATGATGTTTAAGCAGATAAATTCATGATTTAACCAGCAGAGTGATAACTGCTTCCTGTGGAACCTGGTTGGTTTAAATAGCGCAGGTTTTGGATGTAATCTGTAAAGCGAAGGGTGCAGCTTCATCTTCTAGAGACTTTCTAAACAGCACCGGTGAATGTTTCTCTTCCAGAAGTGAACCACGGATGTAAAAATATTTACAGATTATTCGTACCATCACACGCTCCTTCAACGTTGGACTCATTCATCACAGTTACATCAGTGGTGTTTGGTCAACGTCTGCATGTCATGCTGGTTGCCATAGTAACCCACTCCTCCTAAGGGTGTGGGCTCCAGTTTTAGGGTGTCGTCCTGCTGGTGCTGATAAAGGTGGATGCGGGACTATCTGGGTGGTGAGCACAGCGCCCAGCTCCTTTATCTGCTCCCCCTTCTACCGTTTGGGTTCATAGATAAGTTGTACTTGTTGTTTCGGCGCTCAAAAAGACCCTGGGGGTGGGGGGGCTGTTATTGTATTATAAACCGGGTTAATTCCAAATGATCGGAGGAAAATTGGCCTTTTTTTTCATTGAAGAGTTTTCTGTTTTGGATGATGTTTTTGATGAGGCCGGACCCCCCCCCCCCCCCCCACACACACACACACACACACACACACACTACCACCTCCTCACCCCAAATATGAGCCCCCAGTTTCCCACAGACATCTGAGCAAAACTACATCTTTTTTAAATACCAGCAGACTTGATTATGAGTCAGTGAGGAAGTTTAAGAGACTCTGAAAGAGCAACAGATTCATTTTATTTTAACAAGCTACCCGAGGAAGTTTAGTTGGAAAACTTCGAAACATCTGGACAAGAGCACATTACTGTAGTATTTTATTGTATGATTCTTCTCTTCTGTTTCTAGTTAACAAGTCATGGTAATGATATTCACCGTTTAAAAATGTAACGGCTGCACAGTGGCGCAGTGGTTAGAGCTGTTGCCTTGCAGCAAGAAGGTCCTGGGTTCGCTTCCCAGCCTGGGATCTTTCTGCATGGAGTTTGCTTGTTCTCCCTGTGCATGCGTGGGTTCTCTCCGGGTACTCCGGCTTCCTCCCACAGTCCAAAAACATGACTGTTAGGTTGATTGGTCTGTCTAAATTGTCCTTAGGTGTGTGTGTGATTGTTTGTCCCGTGCGTCTCTGTGTTGCCCTGTGATGACCTGGCTCTCTGTCCAGGGTGTACCCCACCTGATTGCCCGTTGACCGTTGGAGATAGGCACCAGCCCCCCCGCGACCCCACGTGGACAAGCGGGTTCAGAAAATGGATGGATGGATAAAAATTTAACCCTTTAGCTTCTACACCAACAACAGAAAATGTTAAGAGAATCGTCTTTTTTTTAATCAATTGGGGCAAATAGGGTTGTGAATTTACTATCAATAGTAATGTAAAAAATTAAATCAGGAGTTTCTGCTTGGAGTTAAAAGCTTTACAATATTCAATAGATGATCCTGGATTCTGTGGCGATTATTTTACATACAAACAAGTTAAACATGCAAGTGTTAAAACGGTGGGAAAACCTGGGATTTCTGCACCTCAGAGGAGATTCAGGACATTCTTACAAAAAAATCAGAAAACTGAACAAGTGGCTCCGATGGATGGACCAGATCAGAGTCACATCCTGAAAAATAGGAATTAAACCTGAGGGATGATTCAGCTGGTCAACTGTTGCTCGTGCGATAGCTGTCTGATAATCAATACGAGTGTCTGCAGCCCCGTATTTGTGTCATTTTTACTAATGTGAGACTTAAAAAAAAGAAAAGTATAAATGAAAATCTTAAAATAGAAAATGTTTAGAATAGTGAGTCTTTTAATATCCACACATTAGCTTTAAAGTTAATGTTGTGGTGAATTAAAACAAACCTCTACCAACTCCTTTAGAAAAAAGTGTTGCTTAAAATGGACTAAAACGTAAAACAGGAAACAAACTGACTCAACAAATGCAAGTCGTTTAAAGTTTGTGTTGTTTTGGACCTGTAGATGTTTATAATTGAGTTTATTGCTAAACAAGTAAACAATTAGGATATTTTGGAATTTTTAATGTATAAATTGAAACTGTTGTGCCCTGTGAGTGAACGAGTTTGACCCATGAGGCAAAAGGAAGACAAACAGAGGTAAAGAAGCTGAAATATGAATTTATCATTTATTAACCAAATGACCCCAGCTCAGTAATTCATGATGGTTTTAGGTCAGATTTAAACTGTCCATTATGTTTTGAGATTTAACTCAATTTTTCCTGTAGAATCAAAAAGCTTTTGTGCAGATGTAGGTCACTGAACAAGTCAGTGTTGCTGTGGTGACCTCTGCTGGCCGAAGATGGTGTTGACACAAACTCAGGCTGACAGGTGTTTTATTATTACATTTATTAGTGACACGAACACATGAATAACATGAACACATGCTTGATTTACAACACTGCATCACATCTCTAACACCCGCTATTACAACACAAGCCACAGTATTACTTCTCAATAAAATCTTACCAGATTAAATCTGTTAAGACAACAGCTGCACATGCTTCAGGGACTAAAATTTAAGGCATGGGTTCAAAGTGTTTGGTGGGTTTTTCTATAGCTACTTTGAGATCTGCTCTGCATAAAATGATTCGTTATAGAGTTTTTATTCTTTGGCACACTGATAATGGCCAAAGAGAAATAAAAATCAAGTTTGAAGATAAATAAACCCTTTAACTTCGCATGTAATCATTTTTGATAATTCACAAAATCTACAAGAGGGTCTGCACAGTGACGTATGAACAAAGGCACTGAGAATATGACTAAAAGTACAAACCGTAAACTCATCCTGCTCAAAAACTCTACTTTCACTATTTAACACATGAAGACTTTGACCATGCAACTTGTGAGTAAAAGAACATGAGCTAATCTAATTCTGGTATAGGGTCACTTTTGTTGTTTTACGTAAACCGTTGTCTGATGCAATAATCTGGTTTCATTTCTGACATCTGATATCATCTGAAACTAATCGGGACTCTTCTGAACGTTTAGATCACACTGGCCGACAGACAAATATGTGAAACACATAAAACTTAAAAAAATAAATGGAAGGATATCTAAAGACAAAACCCACCTGGAACGTTGCTCTGGTCCATCAAAGTGAGAAAACGGTTTTATTAACATTTTCTGTGAAATAAAACATGTTTGTGAAATGTAACAAAACATGTACGGTCACAGACGCTGGAAGTGGTTAAAAGTATCCGTGTGGACGATCAGATGTGTAAAAAACAAAAATTAAAAAAGCCTACACTTCACAGTAAGCTGGATGAACAACAAACTATAAACACAAAAATGACATTTAGATTTTTACCACCAATGCTGCTAAAACAAACAGCCTTTTGAACATTTTCCATCTAATAACACAAACCAAAAGGCTGGAAAACAACTGGAAATAATTAAGCTTGTGGGACTGGATGTTTGTTTACTGCAGCAGAAAATCAGTCAGCGCTCACACACACACACACACACTTCCTGTCCACCCAACTGAACTGACCATAAAACCCATTAAAAGGATCACATGCTAGTTTCCCAACTGCTGACTGCACTTCTGCTTTGCCATCATGGTCTGATAAAAGGGCAAAATAAAGATGACTCGAAACCCACAAACGTGTTTTTCTGCTGCAGAGGATTTCAAATGAATCATCCGATGATGTGGAAACATGTGATGGAGAAACAAAATGATTTCAGTTCTGTCTGAGGTCTCACACACACACACACACGCACACACACACAGATTCAGCTGCCCTGGAACAGATCCAGGGTCTGCTTTAAGGCTAGGTAAGGCTTTGTGTTCACTGAGCAGAAACTCATTACGGAAAGCAGAGGAACCATTTAACCATACAGCTAAAAGAACGATATTCAGACACAAATCCAGCACCCAACCTGCGCGGAGGTTCAGGCTCCAGAACAAGAAAACAGCTTACTGAGAGGTAACCATCACACAAGTGATTCAAACATCATATACTACAAGTTTTATAATCTGAGATTATATAACAAAATCTATTTTAGTTATAAATGTGACTAAATATGTTTGAGGAATCAAGTTTACAAGCAAGAAAACCCTTTCTGCAGAAATCTGACACCACCTGGCAGGTAGGTGATGCTCTCTAAACTCCAGGAGCTAATCTACACCTCCGTTATGCTCAGATTTAATTAATCTGTCTGGATTCTGTATTTCAGCTCTGCTTTGGTGGACGTGTTGGACTGAATAACATCACAGCAGAAAATCTTGGCTGATTAGTGCAGCACAATAAAAATTAACTAAACAGAAGTAAGGGTGAACATTTTGGGTCCGGTTTCTCCTTCAAAGAGAAAAAACGTCTTTAATAGACAAAAATAAAAAAGAACCGTTCTGGCTGAGATCAAGTGTTTGTGGTTAAAGGCAGTTGCACAAGAGCTCTCTGGTAGGAAAATCTCTTCATGCATGAGGCAGGAACCAGTCTAGGCCTGATTGTGTCATCTATGACATCGCCGTTTGGTACTGTGGGGAGGTCATCTTCTGGAGCAGAGGGATCTGTGGGACAGGAGGACAACAGGACAGGTTGAGATGGATAAATATAAAGAGCAGAAGCTACAGAAAGATCATCTAACGTGGTTTTGATCTACTAACAGGTGAGATCTGATGAGTACCGTGCTAGGACCAAAGCTCCTTCTGGATATTTCCAAAATAGATCAGAAAATCTCTCCATCCACACCAACTAAATATTAAAATACAAAGAACGTCCTCAGCTCGGCTACATCGACGGTCTAGTGTTACCTTGGTCAGATCCACTCCAGTGAGGGCGTTGACAGAGACGGGGAGTTCAGCAAGTAGACGGTTCACCTCTCCTGTCACACGGCTGCCTTCACCACTCAGGATCACAATCTCATTGGTCTTAGCCAGCGGAGCGGCGACTTTACCAGCAATCTGGGAGGAAAAGGCAAAACGTGATTTTTGTTTTGCAGGGATTAAAGATTATTATTATTCTGGGACTAAACGTTGTCATCCTGTCATCAGTTTTATGTTAAAACGTTCATCATCGTCCTCTTCTCTGTGGTTTTGATCAGAGAAGAGGTAAAAAAAAAGACAAGAATCACAAATATTAAACAGGAGTGACTAAAGGAGGGCTGACCTTGGGTAGAGCGTCCAGTACCAGAGCAGTCTTGGCTGCCTCTCCATACTGCTGGTAGGCTTCAGCTTTCAGCCTCATCTTTTCAGCTTCAGCCTTCCCCACCGCTTCAATAGAAGCAGCCTCAGCTTCACCGATACAGCGGATCTTCTCAGCTTCAGCTTGAGCAGTCAGCACCTTCTTCATCCTGGACCAGGCAGCAACAAGACTCTTTAATAACTTCTGATCGTTTCTAATTCCACCGCATCTCTGTGGTTTAGAAAAGAATAAATGATCTTACTTCTGGCCCTCAGCCAGCTGCTGCATCTTGTAGGCTTCAGCCTCAGCGGGTCTTTTCACGGTGGCAATGAGCTCCTTCTCAGTTCGGTCGATCTCCTTCTCCTCAATCGTGATCTGCTTCTTCCTTTGCACCACCTCGATTTCTATCTCCTCTAGACGGATCTTCTGCTGCTCTTTGGCTGCCTGCAGCTCATAAGCCAGCTGAGCCTCTGCTTTCTAAACCAGCCAGGTTGAATTTTTAATATCCAGTCTCTATTTTTATTTATTTATTAAACAAATGAAGCCAAAAGGATTAATCTGGATACCTTTGTGTTCACTTCCTGGTTGAAGGAGGCTTTCTGCATCTCCAGCTCTCGTTTGGAGTCGGCCATCTTTGTGTCAGCGATGAACTTCACATCCATCATTTCCTTCTTACACTCAGCCTCCTGAAAAGGACAGAGAGCAGAAATCATGGAGATGGATTATGGCTGCTGGGCTTTTTATTAGATTGAAGCCATTAGCTAACGTGCCGCTCCACTTACTCTGATGCCAGCATCTCTCTCCGCCTCTGCCACTCCGATGTCAGCATCCCTCTGAACTGCAGCTGTCTGTGTTTTACCCAGAGAGCTCAGGTACTCCACCTTATCATAAACATCCTGGGGGGGGGGGGGGGGGGGGGGGGGGGGGACAGAGAGCTTTGAGAATGTCCTTCAAGAACAATAAACCAATCAGAATAAACCAAAGTGATGTGGCATACTTTGATGGTGAAGCTGAGGATCTCGATGCCCATGCGTCCCACATCAGGGGCCGCTACCTCTCGCACCAGAGATGCAAACTTGTCTCTGTCCTGGTAAATCTGTTCCACAGTGAGGGTACCTGAAAGACAAAGGGGCCAGTTGGTGTCCTCCATATGCAACCCTCATTTATTATTGGGCTAAAATAAAATATCCTAATTAATGAGAGCTGCACCTGAAATTTCAGTCCAATCAAAACGGTCCTTAGGTTAATTTTTGTTTGAAACACTAGAGGAACATTTAGGGGCTCAAAACCTGGGAGTCTCCTTTACCCCACAGAGATGTGTTACCATAGTAACGCCACAAATATGGCCGTACGCGTACAGGTGAAATACAACCAAAAACCTTTTTTTCTTTTCATTACTATGAGGCCAAAGAAAAGAATCCAACTGCTGATTTTTTTTTTCCCAAACAAGCCGCAAAGTTTACATGAAGATAATTTAATCAGCAACATTTACTTGTTTGAAAGGCCGTTTCAACCCCTTAAAAGTACGTTTCTGTGTAAATATTAGAAATAAAAATAAACGCAAACAAACAGAGCTTCAGGAGAGACAAGCTAACCGCTAGCCTAAATACAACAAAGTGTCCTAAAAAGCTCCAGTCTCTAACCCTTTATTGTCTGTTATGCATGTAGCCTCCAGGAATGGTCAGTTTTCCACCTCCAGTCTGACCTCTTCAGTATCTGGCCATTTGGAGACATAAGTCTTAACTGGTGCTTTTAATCTGCGAGAAAGATACTGTTGCTTGGCCAAGGTGCCTCTCAAGCTTTCCCCTCATCTCAGACTGCTTTGCTTCACAGAACAAGAAGATGGAACTTTTATAATAATGAACCGTTATGAATAATGGAGTGTTAAAATAATTATATAATGAATGAATAATAATGGCTGAGGAATAATAATGTTGTGATTGACCTGTGCTTAAATTACTGAAGTAGAAATGAATATTACGTTATGATCAGTAAGTTGATTTAACAAGTGAATCACTATCTACTGACAAGCTCACACACACTCACCATATCTCCATGATGCAAGTTAAAGTTAAACATCACTGCACATAAAGATTTCCTGACCCACAAATAAGAGCTCTTCTATCGGATGTTCTGAGGTTTCCTGAGTGAGTCAGTTTTTGAGAAAGCTTCAGACCGGCCATCCGAAGCAAAACCTCTTTAACCCAGCGCATCTTTTGACAAGCTGTCAAAACCCTGTTGCACGCTACAGCTGACCGCAAACGGTTCTTTCAGAATAAAGCTGAACCAGCTTCAACTCCTTAAAAGTTACTCCATAGATGCAAAACGAGTCCACCTGGTTGTCGTGACCTGGAGACGACTCTGGACTGACCTGGTCGTACTGCGGTTTCTCTACGGACTTCGGTACCGTGGGGTCCACGGACTTCCTGACATCTCGGATCCAAAAGAGAGTCTCCGATAAGGGTACGTAGACCCGACAGGTTGCGTCTGATGTGGTTTTATAAACCATCACTATAGTTTATGGCAGACCAAGGTTCTGGTAACGTCACATTCACACTTCATCACACCTCACATTCCATCCACTTAGATTCATTCATCACATAAAGTGTTCCTAGTTGTCATGTTTTTAATTGCTTAGAAAATAAATTTCTTACTTTTTATAAACTTGACTCTCTTCTTGAATTAATACGAAGCGTCTTACGATCCCTGAATAAACAAAGAATTCTAAACCTTCTGGTTAAACATTCAAAGATCAATCCGACTGGATTTCCATATTTATATAGAAATTCACATCTTATTGGTCAAATGTAGTGTAGCATATTTAGCTTAAAAAGCACCCAAAATAAATATGCAAATATTTTATAATCTTTAGTTTTGCAATACGCTTATTTACATGCCATGCTGTGATTATTTAAATCACCAGCAGCAACAGCTCCAGTGAATCCGGAGGTCAAGTTCAGCAAGAATTTCTAGAAGTAACAATGGTCCAAAAACACCAATCCTTTATTTTAGATGGTCCATTCAGACGGGAGGTTTAAGCTCTCAAAACCCAGGTGAACCAAATCATGTTCAGCTTTGTGCTTTTTCAGTTCCTCCAATAAATATGAGGAATTTTATTTGAGGAGTAAAAGAAGTAACTGGTGCCGTTGTGTAGAGTTCATGATTCCAGTTGGACCCTGATGATGTCATCAGACCGGAGTCTATAAAACCCCACTGCTGTAGTTTTACAGAGCTCGTTAATATTCATAACAGAGTCTAGTGGTTATTGATGGGAAACTGTGTGACATGTAAACAGTTTTTCATGGTTTATGTTCAAGTCCAACATTGAAGTCTAATCTTGAGCTTCAGAGACTTCCTGCTGATACAGAAGAGGCTACTCACCAAGGATAGCGCGCAGATGACCCTCCAGCGTCTGCAGGATAACGCTCTTGATCTCAACCACCGACTTGCCCAGGAACTGCTCACAGGCGTAACCCAGCAGTTCGTTCTCTGTCATCACCTTCACCTAACGTCAGCACGGATACAGATCGTCAGCTGCACACACTCACAAACACAGGTGTGGTGCACATGACAACACGCTAGAGCTACTTCAAACACTCGTGTTCCTCTCTGCTCACTTTCCCACCATCGAGTTTGTATTAAAAACATTGGAGTCTTTGTGGATCTGAGGTGTTTCAGTGGCATCATAAATGCACGGATTAGAAACTTTCAACAGAACAGGCAACAAAATATTAAAAGTGCAGATTCTCAGCAGGTGTTAAAGATGTTAACGTGATGCTTTTCTAGCTCATAACTTTACTTTGAGTCTGTGATTTACACATTTATGTTACCTGGTGGATGTGTCAATGTGTTAGCATTACTAGTGGCTGCTAGCAAAAGACAGCTAATGCTACATCTGTGGTTAGCTTAAAAATGTAAATCCTGTTAAAATAATAAACGTGATTTAACAATAAAAAAAAGCTGACAGGAAATTGTTGATTTATCGTTCAGCTGTTCTTTGTTTATATAAAACTACAGGATGAGCTGAAGTAATCCTGGCTTTACATTTTAAGCAGTGATAAGATGGCGCAGCGATATCTCAGTCTAAAAACACAACCAAACAAAGGAGTTTGGTTCAGTATCAATATCACAGTAAAGATAACATTAACTCAGATTAAGTTCTGCATCCATAACTTGAGATTCACAAAACAAAACCTGCCAGTAATTTAAAAACATAAAAGTAAACAGAAGAAGCCTTAAATGGTTTAGGATTATAAATTAGGCCACAGGAGCTGTAAGGAAATGAAAGAGTGAGCTGGGTCCTTAGGTGAGAGGTCTGCACGTGGTTCTGAATCACAACATGCACTCATACTGGAAACAAGGGCAACACAAAACCAGGAAGGAGGATCTTCATTCCAAGGAAACACTGAAAACTGGGATGGGCTGCAGGATAGCCACAGTAACATGCCAGCTCAGACAGACAGCAGGAGGCGCTGTGCTGCATCTCCCAAGACCGGCAGGTGTGTGTGCGTGTGTGCGTGTGCGTGCGCGTGCGCGTGTGTGTGTGTGTGTGCGTGTGCGTGTGCGTGTGTGTGTGTGTGTGATGTCACTCTTTTTGCTGCAACTTATTTAATTCAACAATCGGTTAAATGAAGATATTTAATCCATTTATGATCATCCTGAAAAACAGGAAAGTATTTTAGGTGATTTCTTCCATGACAGGTGCTGTAAAAACTTTCCAAACATAGATGCAAATTTTTACTGTTAAAAACAGATGAGTTTTTTTTCTCTGTATTAGCAAACACATTTCTCTCTAAATACAGAGAACACATTCATGTTCTTCAGGAGAAATCTTTCTCTCGAGTTCAAACATGTTCCTTTTAACTCAGCTGTTACTATGGTAATCCCCACAATGCCTTGGCTTAGACTGGATGAATCTCTGAGGAGTAAACCGTGGAGAGCAACAGGGACGTTCAGTTCCAGGCAGTGGGATCGTTGTCAGCGCACATTTAGGAAAATACAACGGAAAACTAGCAAAACTAGAGAAACGATCACCGACTGACATGCAGACAGGAAAAAACTATGGAGGATGTAATTCTAAATAAAAATGCAACAAACACAAACAAAAAACCTTAAAGAGAAAATCCACCAACAGTAGTTTGCTATACTGATCAGTAAATAAATCAGTGGCTGTTTTAACCTTAATGTTTCCTTTTAAATCCTTTTTCGTTCTTGTGAAAAGCCTTGTTTTTATCTTGAGGTGCTGTATAAAATGTTTCTGCTTCTAAGCCAGATAGATTTATCAGTATTATTATTTCTATATGACTAAATAATAAAACATATCATGATTGTGAAAAATCATGATGCAAACGGTTGAGAAAACAAACGTAAATGTCCTGCCATAAAGTAGGAAACTATTAACATTAAATTTCACTGCTGTAAGAATTACTTTTGTTGTGATGTTTGCATCACTTACACTCACAATGCTAGTACCAGAGCCTGGTTTTCAATAAGACTGATTTAATACAAACCTCTCCAGAACTGGTTCGGAGAGAATCCATAATGTTGAAATCTGAATTTAAGCAGGTTTAATCTGGTTTTTGTCTAGGAAAACTGGTTCCTGTGATACACAAACACCTCCATGTCACCGTCTTGAATCAGAGTAGAAAAGTTAGGCTCAGACAAAAAAAAAAAAAAAAAAGCTAAACATCTGGGATTAAACCCCAGCGGAACCAGCTTGTAACTGGTACCAACAGAAACAGAAATTCTAATTTTTTTTAGATGCACTCAGTGTCGACCAAACTCTTAAACAGCTTCCTTTACTTTCCCAGAACATTTTCACCCAAATGGCAAGTGGGGTAAGTTTTATATGATGATGGATTTTGTCTTTGACACAATTTTATAGTTTTTTCTTTTCTGGCACAAATCATAACAGGGCTGGCACGTTATTCCAGGAGTTTGAACTGGAATGTCGCTAGTTTTCTAAAAACCAAACAATCTAATCAGGCATGTGGTGGCTTCCTGTTTTACCCCGCCAAAGTTTTAAAAGGTTACGACTTCAACACCACTACGGTTTTGTCTCACACCGTTTCTGTGGTTTCAGATGTTTTTCTACTGACTTCCCAGAGGTGGTGCAGGGATTTCTGTGGCTGTGAGCAGAGTGAGGTAACGCTCACTTTTATGTTACTGCAGCTGTGGGTCAGCTGGGTCTTCTGACCTGCGGTCGGCTGAACATTTCACCACAAACAATAAAAAATAAATCAGCTGTTTGGATTTCTGTCTAGCAGCACAAACTACAGATGATCGCGACTTTGGTGCTGCATTAGTGCAACACATTACTATTTCTGTTCGGAAACATACATTTAAACAACAATCTACAAGTGTTTGCATGTTTTGGTCCAATTAATGACAACTTTTAAGCTAGTTATAAAGGCTAAGGCAGCTAATTAACTAGCCAACATCAACAGCGTGGAAGAAAATAACCTTGTAGTTTTAACTTTCTTTACATCTGGTATTATTATTACACTTTGTACATCTGTTTAAAATCACAAATATTAAATCAGTAGGCTAGCTATCTGTTGCTTTAGACTTTAAGGATAAAACAACATAATTCTCTCATTTTACCAATACCATAAAATAAAATGACTATAATCTTGTTATCTCTTTCTATCCATCTTAGGACAGACCCACTTGTGTTTTTGATGGGGTGAACTAACAAACTAAGGCTATGAATAAATATAATATTATCAATATGTTTCTTCGAAGCAATAATCTAATAAAAGCTATTAGAGGAGACAGTACATTGAATTTTTTTATAACACTGATTTAAAGAAGTGATATTTTTGCTCAAGGTTTTTAAATATAATTTATTATGGTTCAATTTTCTCCTGGTAAAAACTAAGCATCCCAGCATATGTGTGTATCATTTTACACCCATTTAACAGATACTAAATAGAAAATTGACTAAAAATAAGGAAAAGCACAAACAAACAAACCAATAATTGAGCTGGTCAGAGAAAAGTCTAAAACTATTTGAAAATAGTTTGAAGTTAATGCAGTTTAAAATCAAAGCAAATGATCTTAGAAATAACCGTCACCAAGGAAACACAATGAGAGTATAATTAGTGACCAACACACCGAAGCTGTTAATGAGTATCTAGATAGCAGCCTTGAAAACACCAGCTGCCAGAAAAATCAACGATCATGTTCCATGTTATTTTAGGTATTTGATGAAACTTCTCCTTTTACCTGTAACATCATTTATACACAGAACAGGTGCGTAATTATGCTCAAATCATTTCAGTTCATGCACCCTTGGATAAAAGGTGCCAGCCCTGAAACAACCCAAAGCAACCACACAACTGTCTGCAGATCCGCCTGGTGTGTTTGCTTTTAAGAGGATTCATCAACATCAGTGTGTGCATCTGGAGCCGCTATCTGTGCCGGGATGACGGGATGATGCCAGAGACGGGAAGGCAGGGGTAGAGGGGTTAGTGGAGTCTGAACTGGCATTCCCAGAAAAGTGTGGTGATTTACCTGAGCCACCCCAGTGACAGTAATAGCTACACCCTCCGCTGTCTCTACATCCTCACACTTGGGCTGCAGGGTCATAATCTCAAGCGTTATCCTGTGGAGAACGTGGAAAAATATCAAATAATAAACATGTCCAAGGGGAAAGCAAATGAAGGGAATGAACAGAACACAAGAAGGTAACAAAACAAACAAAAACACAAAGTGAAACCATTCACCCAAGGACTCCAGATCACCGAGAACAGAGTAACAAGAGATGATACCCGGAATTCAAGCGTCGCTGAATTCAGGTTTAATTCAGACTCATTTTCATTTGGAAATGTTTTTTATTGACACTGGATTCCTCTGATCCTTATTCTAGATTAGAACATTCAAACCAACTTCAAAAACAGTTTTGTTAGTGGCACCCTTTTCCTTTGACCTCATGACCTGCAACTGCTTTTGTTTTTATGAGTGAATTACCTGAGCCACCCCTGTCACATCCAAGGGAACACCCTCCGAGGTTTCGATATTCTCACAGCGACAGAGGATGGTCATAACCTCCAGAGACATTCTATGCAGGCAGGCAGGCAGCAGGAATGGCAGAGGCAGAACAGTAAGTTGGACAACAGCTGTTAGGAACGTCAGTAACCAGCGTTAAGGACGCACAGAAAGGAGGCAAAAGGCTAAAGCGTGACCCTCCATTTTACTGGATCCAGCAATGAAGATTTATCTGTTTGTGAAGTAATTATTCGGTCTTCCTGGAATCACACCCCTCCACTGAGCTCTATTTTCATTTTATCTTCTGTTCTTACAGTGACCCTAAAACGCCTCTTAATCCAGACTAGATCACTAAAATCCATAATCCCATCTAGACTTAATAGTCATTTATTGCTGGTTTATCGTGACGTTTCAGAGCCAACTAAAGAAACTGAGACATTTCTTTTGTAAACACTGACAGGTTCATTTCATCGGAGCTTTGGTGGAAAAATGGCTCTCTGCTCTCTCCGCATCAAGAACAGGAACACCCCCCACATTCACAACACAGTCCATACTGGCTCGTGTAAAAAGGGCTTTAAGCAGGACACAATCATTACTCTGGGGAGACCAAAGAGCTACTTTAGCAATAACATCTGTGCAAATTGATGTATTAAAAGCACAGCTGGAGCTCTAAAAATAAATATGACCCAAACAGAAACATTTTTGTGTCTCAACTTTTACATTTTCTTATTAACCTAAATTACCCCAGCAACTGAAGACAGAGAGCACTTCATAAGAAGTGAGTAAGCCCCACCTTTGTTTAGCTGAGATGGGTTAAGATTAAAACACGAAAAAGCAAAGCAGGTTAGAGAAGCAGAAACACTGAGGCAGGCTAAATATTTCATGATCACACCGATAGCTACATAACAACAGGAGACGATGCTTCCTCATAAGATTCCTTATCATGCTGTAAGTGCTGAGGTTTTAGAACTAGAACTGTTTGCTTGTAAACTCTGTGATAGCTCACAACAAAAACAAGAAGATAACGCCGTTACTGAACTACTGTTCTGCTGGATTTATAACAACTCCATAATGATGAAAGCTACATAGATTAGAGCTGAAATCTAAGCATTCAGTGAAGGACAGACATCAACATTTCAACTGCAGGGTTTGTTTAGAAAACTAGATTTAAAAAACGTAGTATCTCATTTTAATCTGGTTTTGAACCCCGATAAAGAAAAAAGATGCAGGTCAAAGCACCCTTCAAGATATTTGACTGATGATTTTTTGGATGTCTTGTTTGGCTTTAAGTGAGTCTGTTGATCTTTCCAGGAGCTTTACTGAAGCCGGGTGGTTTGAGCTGCTCTGTTTACACGTTTGATGAACGTTGGTGAGAATGTTTATCTTCGTCATAAATAATTTATTTTTCCAGGATGTGTATAAAAAATTAAGAGCAACCATTCTACTGACAGAAACCTGCTTTTGGTGGTAAAGTACACTTCTCTGTAGGCAGCTTTGCCGTTTATGCCTCAAAATTTGTGTTTTGTCCTCAAAGAGACAAAAATCTGCACATAAAATACCAGAGTACTAGAAATATTTTATTTTATAGTTATTAGAACCAAAAACCCAAAATACATCACATATCAATAGTTAGTAGAGGTCATCTTAAAGAGCAAGTCACCCCCTACCAGAGTCTTACTCCAATGCCACTTCAAGTTTGAAAAATGAAACATATGACATCATAATGTACCAGCTAAATTCATAGTGTACCTCTTAGCCAATAAGGATGGCAGATTTATATTCAAATGCAGTGCAGAGTTTTTAACTGATGAGGGCACAACACTGACAGTTTAAAGCATAATATTTAAATTTGAACTAATTATTGACTACACGTGTCTGCCGCACAGTTACACTCGTTTATATAGTTTATCAGCAAAAAAAAGTTGATTTGGGGGTGACTTGCTCTTTAAAGTACCAAATGTTAGACCCGAATGCTGTGTGTCTAAAACCTTCTACACTTACAGGTAGGTGTCAACATACAAATAAACATTAAAATTTTATTCATGCAGACATTTTTAACCATAAAGCTTGACTTCATCAAAAATCAAGTAAAATCACATAGAATACTAGAACTGAACTTATTACTGTATAATACAAATGCAATAATAATTTTATGCTAATAACATGCATCTCCAGTTAGTAAAATTCACTTATTTGCCCATTTCTATGTCAAAAATATAAACTAGACTCCATGTAAAAATAAATAAAAGAATAACCGTAAATGACCCGCTCCTGTATAGCGCCTTTCAGAGTCAGAGGACTCCAAAGCGCGTTACACTACAGTGTATCATTCATCCATTGACACACACATTCACACACTGATGGTGATGAGCTACAATTTAGCCACAACTCCCCTGAGGCTCACTGACATCAATCATATGTTAAAACTTACTGAGTCCTTTAAGTTTAATGTATTTAAAAGTGTCAAATGTTTTGGCTTTGTTATTTTCCTCCTTCGTAAATGGTAAAGAAGTCTGATCAAAAGATAGAAACCCTTAGAATGGCATGTGGAGTTTCCTGTAGAGCAGCAGATTTCCTGTTCTGACTGAGACTGGGTGCACATTGATGCTTTTTTCATAGTTTAAACCACTGCAGGAAGGCCTCACCTCTGGATGTCAGAAATGAGCCACCAGGCCCAAGCCCAGCCTCCCACGACATATGTCTTCTGATCCGACCCACAGCAGCCACCTTTGAAGAGTAAAAGAGAAACAGACGTCACATGACTGCTCCCAATTATTAAAAAACACAACAACAATCACTGGTCAAAACAAAAAAAAACTGTAGGAGCATATTGTTTTGGTCAAAAAACGACCAAACACTGACCCAAATTTCAGATGCTGTGAACAGTTTCTAAAGAAGATCCTGTGGTCTAGACAACGAAAACAACACCTCCAACCACAGTCTTCACAAGTTGGTTGTGTTTTCCACTCCTTTTCTTTTGCTCTTTTGATTATTTGATGTTGCATCTGTTTGTTGCAGCAAGTGGTTTACTGGTTCCTAGGAGTTGTAACCCATTTACTCCAACTCAATCATCGCAAATCGGTCTGATGACATATATAGCAGATCATCATCAGGCTTTTAAAATTGCTTCAGCAGAAGGGGAACTACTAATTTCTCAAATGTGGGGATTTTATCAACAACAGATGTGTAATAAATGTGGGATCTTACCAACAAAAACACATGCCATGTCCGTTCACTGGCCTCAGTTTGATAATTGAATCTGGAGTGGTGCAACATTCTCAGCTTTCATGTGTTGAAAGGCAAAGAAAGCGGACAACTGTCTTTATTATTTTTTTAAAAGAACATATTAACAACCATTGAGCATGCTGGAACAAAACTTTCCACGTCTAACATTCAACATGGTGTTTCCAACATCTCCAAAAAGGGTTAGAATGAAGAGTTATTGCTTATATTATTGTGACATTTCAGGATAATTGTCAAAGCATTCCAAACTCTTGTCCTTTGCCTACATTCCCAAAATCTTAACTTTATACAATTATGATAAAAAGGAAGAATGTCAAAAAGTTTCACCAAGACAGTTCAAGTGGACATGGAGAATCAAAGTAATCTCAGAGAAGAGCTTTGTTTTTTCTCAAACACATAATGACATAGTTTAATTGCCATGTGAAGATGTGCTTTAACATATTTAATGAATCTGTAAACACCATGAGTGTGTTAATGAGTTAAAATTAACACAGTATTATTCTTTAGCCATGACTGTACATTTACACATGCCTATTAAGTACTAACCTGCATGCCTGTTTACACTTTAGAAGAACTCATTTAATGAATGAAAGAGAGTGGGAGGAGCTTCTACTATAATTCCAACCATGCCCTGGTGAAATGCCTCCATCAGTTTGTCTGGTCACCTCCAGAAATACATTCAGCTAAACAACATTCTAGCTCCAGCATAGCTGAAATTCCTAAATGTGCTCAGAGAGAGGAGGGGGAGGGTTCATCTCATGTGTAAGAACTTACACAAGCTATGACATGTACACTGTGACTTACAACCACCAGAATATGTGATACAACACATCCTGCCCCTCAAATGAACCATTTGCTCTGGTTGTTCATCAATCTGAAAATGTGTTGCTTCATTAACTGATTCTGTCAGTGACACTCTTAACAATGGAAGATCCCAAATGAATTGGGCAAGATGCAACTGCAGGTCTGAAAAACGGTAGCATTGCTGGAATAAAGACTTTAACAAACATATTCATAATCATACACAGGGATTAATAGCATAAAGACATAAACCTTGGGAAAATCCAATCCAATTGATCCTCAGGTGTTTGGTTTTAGATGTAAGAAAATTCAGAATCTGTGTACACGATTCTGAATTTTTTTTATATATGTATAGGACGTAAGATGTGATTTTTTTTTAAAAACGAGCTATCTGTCTACAAAAACGTTTTAGGGCACAAATAGTTCGATTTTTCATCACATCTCACGTTCTCCTGAGTCTCAGGATTAAGAAACATCAGCTTTCGGCGGTGAGAAACACTGTCCAGACCTAACAGATACAGTACAACGGACAAAATGTACAAGACCCTCCCCGTGTAACTCGATTACCTTAGCTTCTGAAGGAAAAGCACCGCCATACCACCCTAACAGGCTCCAAAAAGGAAAATATACAATTGAAAGCCCCGTTTTTCTAAATCCAAACATTTTTCATTGTAACCATCTTATACAGGGGCAGCTCTAGTTTAGTACGACGTTACTCTGTTCATAAATAATAGAAAAAATATGAATGTAAATGTAAACAAAATGTTTCTAATTTAAACAAGACGTTAATTTAAAACACACACACACACACACAAAACACATCGAATGCTTTGGTTTTAGGAGCATTGTCATCCGTGTTATCGCCATTAACGTTTGTTAGCATCCTGTTCAATCAACGTGGGAAAATAAACATCTGCCATTTTCGACGTAGAGGGAGGAAACAACAGTGACGTTAAAGATGAACGTTAGCCTAAATTTGCCAAGTAATTGATACGGAACTGTTTCAAACAAATATGGTTGGTGAGTTTAAGCAATTCATTCATGATTCTTGTACTTACCAGAAAGTGAAAGCTGCTAATAAACACATCAAGAAACACAGAAACGTTACCTGAAACCACCAGGGCCTCGTTTGGTCCAACGGTGTGGCAGTTTCCCATCTTACCGAAGCAAACAGACGTGTATACACGCTTTCTCAAAGCATAAAATAAACAAATTTATTTTTAATAAACTTATCTTGGTCCCTTTAAAACACAACCTCTCCACGCCCCTGACGACTGATGCGTTTTTTTTCTTTCAAAATGGAGACCGGAGATCAGTTTGAGCTTCACGTTGAAAATAGGCAATGCGTTTCCGCTAAATATTTTCAAAATAAAAGAAAAACATGCAAAAGTACGTTGCGGTGGATTATTTTGAAAATCAAACAAGAGTTTTCCGCATTGATTTTGACTGACTGAACACACTCAGGGTGTCTACCCCAAATGACAAAGTAGGCGTGTTATTGTAAATATCTTCTCACGCAAGGGCTTCCATAATGAAATCCTTTTAATTTTCTGGGGATGGAAGTTAAGTTATTTCATGTCATCACATGATATTTATGCCCTCTAGAATTATTTACATAAATACGCAAGCAAATACGTCACACCACCAGACAGAGGCAGTTCTAGAGATGTATTTCTGAGGATGGCAAAAGAGGTCCCAGATGGGGGGTGGAGTTTACCACAAAAAAACCTTGTTTTCATGCTTTCATGCTTTCATGCTTTCTTGATAAGATAAGATAACCTTTATTAGTCCCACAAGTGGGAAATTTGTTTCGTTTACAGCCAAAGTAAAAGTAAAAAGTAAAGGTTATGCAGCAGAGGGAGAAAACACTAAAATACAATAAGTTCTATCGTAATGAGATAAAATAAACTCAATACAATAGATAATTTATACCTTAAGAATGGAGTAAAAAATAACCATACTATACACAGCTTAGAAATACAGAGTACACTTCATCCAACAGATGATGATACATATCTTTACACAAATTACATAAAACAGTACTTGACTGAGTACTATCAATCAATAACCTTCTCAAGTAAACGTCATATATCTGTGCAAAAACTTTATTCATACAATCTAATTTGACTATAAGCCTGGCATTGTGTGCTTTGATCTATTGTAATTTTTTAAGGGAATTCAATTATTTATAATAAGAATTTGTAAGCATTAGCAATGCAATTTCTTTTTCTGCAAAAATTCCTACATGAAATTCTTGTGAATGTCATTTGTAGTAAAACCCATAAAATTACATATTTCATGCCAACTTCTCCCAGTGTGCCTCGTAGCTGCTGCATGCTGGAGTGTTTCTGTTAAGCTAATGATTACAGATAATAAAAACGACCAGTTATATCATCTCAGACTCACTCAAATCAGCGTCAATCTCCACATGGAGTTAGGGCGCGGGCATCAAACAGAGATGAGACAAGTTGCGAGTATGGATCATAAGCTCAGCAGACCGACATGGAGTAGACAGATAGAGTTCACCTTGGCTGGCATCGGATGTGCTGTGGGTCTGGGGAACGTCTGGAGGTTCCCATATCTTTGCTACAGGAGCGGAGGAGGTGAGGAAATCTAAAGATATAGAAAAAGACAGTTTGTTCAGTGGTGTCACAGACTCCATGTTTCTACTATTTCAGTCAAATAAGACTTGCAATCCCTGATGCCATATGAGTTTATTTGTAGTAATGAGCATAAAGACTTCGTAGTGGATTACCTCACCTGACTGTTACCCTTAGACTTTCACGCGTTAACGATTAGCAGAGTCTCTACTTCATCCTCAAACAGCACATGTGTAAGAACTGATTCACCCTCAGTTTCTGACAGGTGCCTTTCTGGTTCCGTACCTGCTCATGTTAGTGGTTTTGGGGATCCCTCTGCTCTACATGGAGCTGACTGTGGGTCAGTACACAAGAAGAGGGCCCGTCCATGCCCTGGCAAGTGTTTGTCCACTGTTAAAAGGTACTTTGCACACATTTTTCCTGTCAGGTAAAACTCTCTATGATAGAACAAAAGCCAACTGTGGTTTTGTCTGACCCCAGGAGTGGGCATCGCATCAGTGGCCATCTCCTTCATCATGTGCACCTACTATAACATCGTCATCACCTGGGCCCTGTATTACCTCTTCAGCTCCTTCCAGGCACCCCTTCCATGGCAGAGCTGCAACAACACTTGGAACACACCCAACTGCACTAACCATGCCACCAACAGCAGCTACTCATCCACAGCCAGCCAGGAGTTCTTCAAGTGGGTTTAATCAATGGAACAGACTAATAGCAGTAAACAATGTTAAATAACCCACGACTCACAGGAAACATGGCTGCCTAAAGAAGGTAATGTCCAGAAAATAGCTCAGGGATTAAAAAATGTAATTGTCTTCAGAGGAAAGTACTAAATTGACGAAAAGCATTGATTGATCAGTCAGGTGAGGGATATCAGTTGAAGTAAAGGTCAGAGATAAGAGATACAACATCATTGGGAAGTGTGTCAAAAGTTGAGTCAGTTTTAACCTTTAGCTTCAACATCTAAAGTGTTAACATCTATAAGATGTCTCTTTGGGGCAGAGCGCTTTCAGAATTTTCAGAAATACAAAGTTTGACTTTGTTTATTTGAGCTACGAAACATCTGTTGGTTTTCCAGCTTGAACATTGGGAGCTCTGAGAACAGAGGTGAAAAACACCTTTCGGCCTGTCCTGTTTGCTGATTAGACAATAATAGCGCAAGACCTCACATTTTTGTGTTTACCTATTAACTGGTTGTACCACTCCCAACCCACAGCTCTATACCTTCCACTGAGATTTTGAAAACACAGTTGACACCTTTTCTAAAAGGTTATAAAGGTGAACAAATTAAAGACCTAGCAGTCCATCATGCCAGTTCTAAAATAATTTCATCCAACTTACAAAAATAATGGAGTTTTAGCTGCTTTGGTGAGAAAAAAAACAATTATGCATGAACTTGCGCAATCAGCACCTACAGGGGTGACTCAGACCTCCACAACACCTGATCTTTGTTCAAGATTTACAAAATGTTCCCAACATTATTGGCGTCAATTAATTGGGAACTATGAATGTTTACACAAATGCCCAGAGCAATTCTCATCAATGCTTTTGTAATCGTGGCCAATTTTCTCATTTGTGTCATTAAGTTGATACGTTCATTTTATGCTCCTTGAAGATATCGGATGCTTGAGCAGACTAGTGGAGTAGAAGAAGCCGGAATGCTGCGGTGGGAGCTTTTCCTCATCCTCATCCTGGCTTGGATCCTCGTTTATTTTTGCATCTTTAAGGGGGTGAAGTCAACAGGAAAGGTGGGTGCAACAAACCAGGAGTGAGCAAACCACATCAGAGAGCCGAGCTTCAATCTTCTCTGTGTGCAGGTGGTGTACTTCACCGTTCTGTTCCCGTACATCATTCTGATTGCTCTGCTGATCAATAACGCCCAGCTTCCTGGTGCAATAGATGGCATAAACTTCTTCATTGTGCCGGAGTGGGACAAGCTGCTTTCGGTGGAGGTAAGGGAAAAGAGCAGCGTTGATGAGAGCAGATGTGCGGTTACCAGAGGTTACCAAGCAGAGCCGTGTCCAGGACATTTAAAATGGGGTGGCCCATGTGGGGCACTTGTTTATTCATGGGTGGCACCAATGGTTATGCTTATTTATTTATTTACACAAATCATTTATTTATTTACTTTCTAGTGAATTTTTGAGTTTCACATTGCACAATCACCTTTTTTTTCCCCTCTCTTCATCTTCTACTTTTGTGGTGGTTAGCAAGTCACTTCCTGTTGCATTACTGCCACAAACTGGAGTTGAGTGGGACTCTAAATACTATGCATGTGAATATGAAATATATGAAAAAATATTAATACTACATGCCTGGGCTAGAAAACAAGCTGAAAGGAGCATGCAACCACACACTATTTCGGAGTTTACAACCCAAGCCTTTTGTCGACAATGTAAAGTCAATTTAAACTGGAACTTAGTGGGGTGGCACCTGGGGTGGCCAATCAGATTCCAAGGGTGGCATGTGCTACCCCAGGCCACTCCCTGGACACGCCCCTGTTACCAAGACCCCGCAATGGGTTGTGAAAGTGTCGAGTCATGTTGGTGTACATCAGGGGTAGGCAACCTTGGTTCTTGAGCGTGATTTAGTTGCTTTCCTGCTCAAACACACCTGATTTAACAGTTTAATCGCCTGTTCAGCAGGTCATCAGGCTCTGCAGAAGCCTGTTGATCACCTGCTAATTAAAATCAGGTGTGCTGAGGCAGAGAAACCTCCACATTTTAGAGATACTTTCACAAAAGAGAAACAAGGGAATTCCTCCTGTCACATTTTAATCGATACGTTTGATTGATTAAAACCACACACCCCCAGTCACACCCCCACCCATGCCCAATTAAACTCTTGTCAGGCCCCAACAAAAGGTCACGACTGATTATCTCAGATGAAACCTTATTGGGCCCCAACAGATGACCCCAGCCCAGTAACAGACTGAAGCAGAGAAGTCTCACATTTTTAGAGGTTTCTCTGTCTCTCAACACACCTGGTTTAAATCAGTAGATGACTGACAGGCTTCTGTGGAGCCTGATGACCTCCTGAACAGGTGATTCAACCATCAAATGAGGTGTGCTGGAGCAGGGAAACAACTGAAACATGCCGGACTGTGGCACTCCGGGATCAGAGTTGCTTACTCCTGAGATTGTCATTTATGACTTGGTAATTCTTAGGAGTTAAACATGAATGTGAAAAGCAAGTGGATTTCTTCTCTTGTTGCTTGATGAGCCTTTCCAGTTCAGATCACAGATCGGACGTTCTAGACCTAAGTAGTAGAACATTAACGTCACGAGAGGTCACTGACCCTTTCCGTCATCATCTAAGTCATTTGGGCCAAAATCATTCAGCAATGATGGTGACTGGTTCAGATGACATTGTCCAAGGTGTGAGTGGTTCTGGAAAAACCTCCAAGGTTTTTATCATTTTTATGAAACACCCACTGTCAGATCACATTCATGTCCTCTATAGAATGCCCCTTGTCGTTGGGATGTATGGGACTGCTGAGATTTGGCGTGATGTACTGGCTCTTCTGTGCCAGGCCATCTGCTCATAGCTTCTTCTTTGTTTCACCAGTAGACATCAGAACGTCCTCGGCACTGAGCTGAAGATACATTTCAGTTTGTGTTAGGAGGTCCAGTCCTTAAAAATCACGGTGAAAATACAAAAAAAAGTCCTCGGAAACTCTAAAACCATACAAGATGATAACGTTCTATGATGTGTTTCTCATCCTTCCCCGCTGTTCTTGTAGAGTGCTTGTTGTCTTTTGGTGTCCTCCTTGATGAACTTGAGTTTTGCGCTGGCGAAGGTTCTCATCCAAATCATGGTTATCCAAAAGGGTTCAAATGAAGCCAACTGGACTTATTTAGTTTCTTGAAGACTTTTCACTTCTCATCCGAGCAGCTTTGTCAAGCCTGAAATTCTCATGCCAGGATGAGCCTCATGAATGAGAAGTAAAACATCACCGAGCTACAAGAGAGGAAGTTCAGTTGCCTTACAAGAGCAAACACGAGTCACAGAATTTCACTTAATAAAAAAACCCACTAAAAGTACATTTCCACCGTATTTATCAAAATACATTAAATCTGTAGTGACAAACTGATCAAAAATAGTATGTTGGGTATTATCTGAGTGTTTTTGGGTCATAGGTGTCTGCTGGTGTCATGCCATGTGTCAGAAGCTAAAAGGTTCTTAATTAGATTACTGAAAATTGTTGGTCCTGTTTTGAAGGTGTGGGTAAATGCTGCAGCTCAGATCTTTAACTCCATTGGGATTGGGTTTGGCTCCCTCCTTGCCATGTCCAGCTACAACTCCTTCAACAACAACGTTCTCAAGTAATCATCCATTCACCCTCACCCAGTCATTCACCTTTGTCGGATCACTGGCGTGGTCAGAGCGCCGTGTGAATGACCATTTTCTCACCCTGCAGGGACACGCTGAGCATAGCCATCATCAACTCTGTAACCAGCATCCTGGCTGGTTTCGTCATATTCTCTGCTTTTGGGTACATGTCTCATCTGCAGGGAATTCCCGTCAGCAAGTTGGCAGTGGATGGTAAGGTTCAGACAATATTTTAGATCCAATTTCTTCTATAATCATATTTTTTGCTGGTGCATGTTATTCAATCACTTCTGCACTGGCAGGGTGACGATGGAAAACATCTGCTCAACATATCAAATATCAGAGAATTATTGGTTTCATGTAGGGTTTTTTTGGCCATTCTAAAGTGTTATTTGGTTTAAAAGATGTCAACAGTCACTATCTTACCCATTAGACCACTTCCTAAAGAGCATCAGCCCAGAGAAAGAGCTCTGGTGCAACTTAAGATCAAATTGAGCAGCAATTTCTTAAGAATTCTGCAGGAAAAATAGTTTAGTACAAAATTAATGACAGTCTCATAAAATTATATTCACATAAACCGTTTTATTCTGTAGACCATGCATGTCTGAAGTGCAGCCTGGAGGGCATTTGTGGCCCTCGGAGGGATTTTGTGAGGCCCTCTGGCATTTCTATGTTGCACTTTTATCTCTCCAGCAGGTTGCTTATGTATATCAGCAGTTTTCAACATTTTTTGTTCTCAATTTTTTATTGATGTGTTTAATTCAGGCCTTTATTGGGCTGAACAAATAGAAAAATAACCATAAAATAATTTTTGCATGTTTTTAAATGAAGAAATCCCATTTTTTTGTGGCTCATGAGGATTTTTGACACCATCATCAGTTTCTCATTACACCATAATTTCTGTGGATTACTAAAATATTTCCTGCCCAACCTAACTGTTCCACAAGTGATGCCTTTAGCCTTTAGATGATCAGATTTAGGCTTCTTAAGAGCTAAAAGAGCTTTTATCATCAATGTTTTGCTTTTGCTGTGTGTGTTCTAGGTCCAGGACTGGTTTTTGTTGTTTACCCACAGGCCTTTGCCAACATGCCAGTGTCTCAGCTGTGGGCGGTCATGTTTTTCTTCATGCTGCTGTGCCTGGGGCTGGACAGTGAGGTAGAAATCAGAGAATCTGAGCAAAGGTCTCAAAAAATAAAATAACAAAACTAAAGATCTATGTTGGTTTGTGTCAGTTTGCAATGGTTGAAGTGATGGTGACGAGTCTCATGGATGAGTTCTATCAACATCTGATTAAAGTTTTCAAGAGGAAGGAATTTTTTGTTCTTGCCATCTGCGGTGTGACCCTCCTGCTGGGAATCCCTTGTGTCATGCAGGTATTTGCTGCAACTCACTGGAACCGAACGATGACTAAATAACAAAATCATCAAGAGCATGTCTTCTTCCAGGTAGGAATCTACGTCTTCCAGCTGATGGACCATTACACGGCCATCGTGTCCATCATGTTCCTTGCGTTCTTTGAGATCATTGCCATCTGTTGGAGTTACGGTGAGATGTTTGTTTACCTTAACTCCACCATTGAACACACTGTGAAAGATCTTAATGTTTTTGTCCTTCTGCAGGTGTGAAACGACTCACAAGCAACCTCGAGGAGATGACTGGAAGCAAACCAAACATCTTCTTCAGATTTTGCTGGCTAGTAGTAGATCCTGTGCTAATCACTGTAGGTTGGATAATTCATACAAAGCTGCCTGAAAGTGTTTCTCCCTTACAGTTGTTGTCATGCTTAACCCTTTACTTTTGCACGTTTGCATCAAACCAAAAGAGAAAATACTTTTTCCACAGCTCAGCATCACTATTCTTCTCTGAAGCTGCGTTAGTTAAACCTCTGTCTCCTTCTCTCAGGTCATCCTGATTTTTTCCATCATCCAGTTCAAACCAGCTCGTTATGAGGACTATGTCTTCCCACCCTGGGCTCAGGGTGTTGGCTGGATCATTGCTCTGGCCTCCATCATCTGGATTCCACTGGGCACCATTCACACCTTGTGGGTGCTACCTGGCTCATTCATGCAGGTGATGTAAAACTACACAGCCTAGTTGCATGCTGACTTTAGATTAAGCTAATTTTATTTCCCGTCTTCCACAGAGACTGAAGCTGTCCATCACGCCGTTCACACTGAACGATAAGTCAAAAACTCCTTACTATGAAAGGGGAGGAGCAGTGGAGCAGCCGTCCATAGCGGTTACCACCTCCAACACCAGTCTACCCGAAAAACCTATTGAGACAAACTTCTGACATGTTTGCACAAATGATTTGCAGCGAATTATGTTTAATTTAATCATAAACTAATGCTTGATGTCAAGCTTGCTCAAACTTTATGTGAGGAAATGAAACAGAAGCATGTTACAAAAATGATTCCTGTGATTGTGGAAATCTGCAAAGCAGAAGACTAAATTTGGTAGTTTTTAAATTGAATGAGTGTCTTTTGACATGTATATTTGCATTAATTTAAACATTTGTTGTTCAGAACTGTTCTTGTTCATGATTTTAACCCTTTGATGCATGAATTATGAAATCTTCAACCATGATTTTTTTTAACAATTTTTTTCATTCATCTTTAGGTGTGAATGAAACAAATTTCAACAAATATTTTTTGTAAAATTTTATAATTTACAAATAATTTATTACATGTCCACCTCAGTGGACTGGGTGCATTCAGAACATGAAATATGTTGGCTTGGCTTACTGAAGTCCAAATGGAGGGGCTCAAATGCAATAAAGTCTTAAACAGCTGTGCTTAATAGCAAAAACAAATACATAACAATTTTGAGTACCTGTCCACTGTAGTGACCATTATGCATCAAAGGGTTAATACATATGCTCCTTTAACTTTCTCCATTCTTGGTCTTTATTTTGCAAAGACTGCCATCTTTTGGTCACATCTGATCAATGCACAAGATCAGCTGTTTATTAAAAGTAAATTTTTCTAATTAAAAAGACCAACATTAATATCAATGGTTAGGGGTTAAAACTACATCTTTGCACTTACACTCCCATTAAAACAGTCATTAATTTATTGTTGGCTCATTTTCTAGGTCAAACACAAGGAAGTACTGATAAACCTGATATAGGGACGAATCAGAACGAGGGTCATGCTGCTGTATGTCATGTAAGATGTAATAAAAAATAACTCATCATAAAGACCAGTTTGTGTCGTCCCTGAAATCATCAGCTGAGCACTAAAAGATGAGAGACACACGAGGCAAAGCAGGAATGAAGTCAGGGAAACAAGATTTATTCATTCATAAATGAGAAACTTCGACAGAGAGGAACACGTTTGAGAGTTTACATGTGCACAGAGCTAATTTACTTCAGGGAACTCCTCGAAAGTGAATCCAAAGTGCAGAACAAAAAAGGCAGAAAGGTGGACTGTAGAAACCCTGGTGCCTAAAAGACTAGGACACGTGTTTAAAAATGACCCCGGCCCTCCTTTAAAGGGTTTATCAGTTCAGACGAGGAAAACAGATCTTTGTGGAATCCTATAGTTAATAATGGAGCAGGAAGGGCTGAGTGTTGTTGATTATTCACAGTAGGTATGACATAACATTGTCTACAATTAGCTCATGTAAGACTGCAGCTATGTAGAATTATAAGTTAAGATATTTACTTTTAAAAAGTTTACTTAAAACAATTATTCCTTCAAATACGTGTGAATGATGTGTCATGTGACCTACAAATAAACGGTACATTTGTGCAAAAGCCAGTCTTCTGTCTGAGGTGATGGACGATCACAGCAGCTCGGCCCCGTTTGTTCCTGTTGCCGTTTGGCTTCCTTCGGGAGCTCCGCGCTGCTGCATTCAGTAGTATTGTTGCAGTGGTTTATAGAGTCCAAGCCTGTCATTTCCCTGCACAGCCACTTTAAGGCTCCTTCTCCTTGGTCACGCCCCTGCAGACCCAACCCAACCCCCACCCCACCTCCCTCCCAACATGCATCGCCAGCAGAGGCCGCTAAGGAGTCACGGTGGCTGTCTGTACCTCTGCTCGAGCTGCAGCTTCCAGTATCACCGCTATGACACCTGCTCTACTGGCCTCATCTGCACATCTCCAATCTGGTGAGAAACAAAAATGCAGATTAATACACAACCTAACCATCATCTATGGCTTGGAGCACAATGAGAATGTACCTGAACGTGAGGAGGGGCGCTGAGGACAAATGTCACAGCGCTGGCTACATCTTCTGCTTTTAAACACTAAAAAAAAAAAAAATTTGTTATTAGAACATTTTGCAAATTTAACAATTTGCTCTGAACAAATTACACAAATGCTTACTTTCATGCTCTCATACACTGCTGCTGCTTTCTCTGGATCACTGTTGTGATGTCGAAAGGCAAACTCAGTCTCTACTATTCCAGGAGATATACACTGTCGGGACAAACCAAGCGTTATCTCATAGAAAACTGATGACACTGACACCTCTGAGGTGTCGTGGGGTTTTCTACTGGCAACCTAGATGTCTGTCATCAGTTGACTTACAGTGGCTCTGATGTGAGTGTTAGCTTCTCGAAGCTCTTGCCTTATCCCCTCAGTCAAAGCGGTCACGGCATATTTGGTGGCACAGTAAAAATGTTCATCAGCGCTCGCCACAACTCGGTGCCCGCCCATGCTGCAGCCAGACGAGGGAGAGAAAAGCAAGAAAAATATGAAAAGAAAGAAAACGATCTTTTATATAGCGCCTCTCAAGATAAAAATCACGAGGCGCTCCACAAAAACAAAAACAAATTAAGTCTAAAAAGGTTTCAAACACGATAATAAATATGTTTAAAAGAAGAAAAGAAAAAATATGTAAGGAAAGGGAGAGAGAAAATGAACAGGAAAGAGGGAAATCAGTGGATCACGGGAATGGCAGAACAAGAGCAGAATAAGGAGAGGGTGGTGACGAAGGTCACACCAAAGCCAGCTTCAACAGGTTAGTCTTCAGCTGCTTTTTAAAGGAGACCACTGAGTCCACTGATCTCAGGCTCAGGGGGAGAGAGTTCCAGAGTCTGGGGGCCACAGCAGCAAATGATTTGTCACCTTTGACCTTTAGCCTGGTGCGCTGCACAACCAGTAGACTTTGGTCACTGGACCTCAGGGACCTGCTGGGGGTGTAGGGACTGAGAAGACCACCAGTGTATGATGGTGAATGTCCATGTAAGGACCTAAAGACCTGGGGTCTCATTTATAAAACATTGCGTAGAATTCTTACTAAAACTTAAGCTCAGCAAAAAAAAAAAAAAAAAAAAAAAAAAAGTACTTATGCCAAGTAGGTTTGTGACCTATAAAACATGGAGTACGCACAGCATCACGCAATCTCAGCTTTATGAATCACAAACTTCCTAGAAAGGTTCTCAGGTGTTTGTTGATCACATTCCGCCCTCAACACACCCACTTTCTGCCATAAATGTCAATGCAAAGTGCCTTGTGGATCTCATGCATATACAAAAGCTAGCTCGTTGCAGCATTTCACCATTAACGATGGTGACCGCAGATCAAGGAAGCTCAATCCAGCAGGACCAAACAGAACAGTCCCCTGCATCTCTGTGAGTCAGGAGGTCATTAGAGACCCTAAGAAGAGCTGTTTCAGTGGAATGAGCTCTACAAAGACCCGACTAGAAACTATCATAGATGTTATGTTCATCAAGAGCAGCTGTGAGTTGTTTAGCCACAACGGCATTACAGAAAAGGAATTTATTAACTACTTTCACAACCCTCTCAGTTATTTAAAACTGTATGAGCCAAGGTATGGAGTGGACCAACCTTGAACAAATGCTACACTGTTCTTTGATTTATAGATGACTTGAACAGCTTACCTATTAATGTTAATGATGTGGCCATCATCCACATTCCTCTCCTTCATTGATTTGTAGGCCTCACGGGTGCAGATGGACAGGGCTAAGACATTCACCTGCAGAAGAAAGGAAAAAAATTCAGAACAAATTCTTTCTCAAAATAGTTGCACAGGCACAGAGCGCGTTCGAAAGCCTCTCTGGAATTTTCTGAATTTAGTTTCTGTAACTCAATAACACTGGGACGAACGATGAACAAATTGCAAATCAAATATGGAAGAACTGCATAAAAATGGAGATGAAATTAACTTTGAGCCTTAAATGAAATTCTGCAATTTGTAATTACGTCATAAATGTATTATATAAAAGTTGATGGAAAGGCCAAAGCCCACAGATGTGCTGGTCTTAGTTGCCGGTTCAGTGGAGCCTCCAGTAGGAACTGTTCAGTGCTGATTAAACACAAATCCTTGTGTTTACATTGTACTCCTGTTTTTTTACAGTTGACAAAGAATCTTTTGTAAGTAATAATAAACCAACCACACGCCGGTGATTCAGCGCTTATGTTTAACCACATGTGCATGTTTGTGCGCCTGTAGAAATATTAATATAAATAAATCACATAGCTTATAAATGCTATGTGTAAATCTACACAGCACAAAAATGCATCTACAAGAGCTAGAACCGGTGTATCCTTTAACTTTAATGCAAATATGACTTATGACCATCCCAGCTGGTGAATCAGCGTGTGTTCTGATGTTCTGCAGGTCAGCGCGTTAAACCCTGTGAACCTGGTGTTCCTGTCCAGCTTTTGGCCTCTAAGCTCCTCTCGTAGTGACACTGACAGACAGCAGGTTAGCGCTAGCATGCTAGAAAGATGGAGGGGGGTGACCAAACAAGGTCAGCATACAGATTAAACACAGGCTAAAAATACACCGGTGTACAGATTCAAGTGGGCTGCCATGACAACAGATGGGTGAGCATCACAAATGCTGGACCCTGGAGACAAAGATTTAGAGCCGGGCACCTTCTGTGGTCAAGAGCTCCATGAATCAAAATGTTAAGTCCCCAGAAGAGAAATAGTGCTAGCTTTCATTAGTTTGCTGCTGCTGTGCCAGGGCTTCTCATCACAGCCAGTGAAGCTGCCTCTGTGTGAGGAGGCGAGCAGTGTGTGTGTGTGTGTCCATCCATACAATCAGACTTCAATCCTTCAACACAAGCTCTACAAAACACAAGATTTCCATCCAAGACAGCTCCTCGATTGTACTTCTGTTTTAGAGCGGGAGGAACACCTAGCTTAAACACAGAATGTCCCTCCAGCAAGTTGTGACCCCAACATTTATTTTGTGTCGTTGTTCACGTACGTCAATCATGTTCCTCCAGCCCTCTGTCTTTCCGCTGAGTAAGGGTTCGTTGTGAGCCAGCCCTGCGTTGTTGATGCACACATCCACTCCCTTGTGCAGCGTCTTGATGGCTGAGAACATGGACAGGATCTCCTCTTCATTAGACAGGTCACATTTGTATGGGATGAGTGTGCCACTGTAGCCTGCACTCTGACACTCTGCTGCCAGCTTCTGTAAAACACAAACCCAACCAAACTCTGTGAAAGGACATAAACACAACATTTTAAAGGGATTTTTCAGACATTTTGAAGTTTTTCTGGGTAAAAGTGACAATTGACACTTTCCTGAACAGGTATAAAAAAACACACGCAAACTCTCCAGAATCTCAAAGCAGTTCAGTATGGTTTCAATAGACCCAACTAAATAAATTTGACAGTGATTTACAGTTGAACACAAATTATGTCACAGTTTTGGCAAAAGTACATAGAAATTCTGCCCAGAATTTCCTCCATGATAAACTGCTGTTGCTACATTTTGCAGCTGCTGGTAATTTTTACGATTTTAAATGGATTATTTCTTTGGTCCAGGCTACACTTGAAGTAGCTGTTAGCACTGCGGTCCTGAAGGCTGTGAAAACTATATGTTCAAACAGATGCTGATCAGAGCTACAGCGGGTAAGAAAGTTAATACGTTAAACATTTACACCTTAAAATGAGTCAACAGCAAATGGCCCGGAGGAAACCATGGAGAAGACTTGGAACAGACACAAAGTAAACAAACTGAGTTATATCAGTTATTATTATTTTTATCTTTAAAAAGAGAAACTTTGAGCCTTAACCCTCAAGGCGTTGCAGATTTGCAATGTTAAAACCTACCTGGTTACTCCACATACGTGTTTCATGAGCATTGTTTAACTCAGAAGTACCTCTGAAGGACTTAGATGTTCATCCTTTTATCAAAACTTATTTTGAGCCTGAGATGGTTAAATCACCTCTAAACCTGTTAACAGATATTATCCCTTGGTCCTAATGAGCTGAAATAATAAAATCCTGACTCCAGATAAGGAGTGTCTAGCCGATGGGAAGCAGGTGAGCTGAGCTTCCTGCAGGTCAGCCAGGCAGCTCTCCAACCAGGTCAGCTAGCCGCCCATCGCTGTGGCTGGGATAAAATCTGACAGCGATCCCCACGCACAGCACAGATGCCTTGGCCAGCTGATGGTTCTCACAGTTTTTCACTTAAACAGGAAGCAGTGTGGGTGATGAAGACGGGGCCATAGCACAGCACCCCGTCTGCCTGATGGCGTCTACCTCGCCCACAAAATATTAAAGAACATTTCTTTGCATAAAAGTTTTACCACAAACATGGAGTTTTTCTTTATTCCAGAGGTTTCCAGGTGTAAGGTCGTTTCATATGAGCTCAATTGTCATGTTCCAAATGTGGTCATCTGATCTCATTTAATCTTCTGGCCAATTTTCCTGCAACATTTATGCTCAAATTAGTAGTTTTTAAAATTCTGTTTTTAAAACTCATCCCAGCTGGATATTTTGTTCATTTCAGCTAGTTGGGTCGGCTTGTTCAGTTAATCCTTTAGCGCATCTCTAATGTTTAAATACTGGTTATGTCAAAGTGCAATTTACTATAAATACACTTAAAAGTTGTCCTTAGAGTATTAAGTAGATTATAATTCATGTCTATGGGTCTAGGCAGGCTTTAACTTTCAAACCCTTTTAATTATCTATTTATTGCCTTATTCAAACAGCTAACTATACCAATAAACGAATGTGTTATTTTAACCTTTTTTACGTGGTAAAAACAATTCTAATAAATATAGCAAGCTGGGATAAGCAATTAACCATTATTATTTTGCATTATTACTCAATACATTAAATTCAAGCCATCTTACCTTATTATAAGCTAGTCTTAGGAAGACTCGACATGTAAATGCACCTATCTGTTCAGGAAATAAATATTTATTTTGTTATTTCTTATTATTAGCCAAATGAAGGCATCACCACACCTTTATTTTTGATGGGTACCAAACCTTTCCTGACAGATACAAACTGTTATAAAGATAGGAAACACATACTTCCAGTTTTAAGTGCTGCAACACTTTTTATGTGGCAAGTAATTACAGAAAATCGTTCATAGCTATCACATGTGATCTGTTGACAAATGAATCTCAGCTGCTAAAACATGAAATCATAGCTCAGTATGAACAAAATCCACTGATTCAGACATGTTTGATTGCTGATGTTGACTCTAAAAGTAACAGAGAATAAGTACTTTTTGAATGTTTCATTAAAATTCTGATATTTGTGGTTTTTTTAAAATGTTTTGGGAGGTTGTGATTACTGGTTCTGCTGCTCTGACATTTTCAAAAGTATTTGAAATAAACCCTTTAACCCTCCGGAGGCAGGCGTTGCAGATTTGCAACAGTTAAAACCTACCTACCTGGTTACTCCACATACATACAGTATTTCATGAGCATTTTTAACTCTGAACTACCCCTGAAGGACTTTGTTGTTTATCCTTTTATCAGAACTTATTTGGAGTCTGAGAGGGTTAAAATCCCTTTGATGACAGGTGCTCAGGCTGGTCCAGGCCATCAGCCACCCTGATGGAGAGCCTTGTGTTTTTTGTGTGAAAGGATGTGAAGTAAAGGAGGAAGTCAGGACAGCCTTTTGTTGGAGGGAAGGAATTATTTGGCCAATGAGGAGACCCTGAGAGCGAGCCGGCTGTAATCTCACTCCAGCAGGAAGTTTCAGGCTGTGAATCTCTGTGTGTGTTTGTGCGTGTAGGTGTGTTTTGGCACCAGCTGTACTGGTGTGGTCAGTTCCAACCCTCGTGCCGGCCACGCCCACAGCAGTAACACTAAGGCATGCTGTTACCATGAATAGCTAGTATCATGAGTGGCAGCCCTAAATGAAAGTGGAAGTCTATCTGTTATGTTTCAGATACACAAAATACACTGATCTGTGTACAAAGACAGTCTAAGAGATAAAAATGGTCACATAATTTTATTCTGAGCCTGTAACTCCCGCAGAGCGTCTGTAATAAAGAGATGTCGCTGTCCTACTCACTGCTCATCAATCATTCACCCACCCATGTAGAACTAGAATAAAGAGACTCACAAAAACAAAACAGCTCACCCGAGACGTACAAAGAGACAAAAACAAAGATTACAAAAGTGCTAAAAGCAGCCATCTTTAGGTGTTGAGACCGATCGATAGCTCAAGGCAGTAGCCATGAGCGGAGAGAGCTGAGAAATTTGATTTGTCTCCTAACCGGCTGAGGAGTTCCAACAAAAGAGGGATTGTGTTATGAGACGATGTCTCCTCTTTATTCTCTCAGAACACCAGTAGGTGTTATGGGGAGAGAGAAAAAAGACTATGATAATGCAACTTCACAGAACACTCACCCTTTATCTATTTAGCCCCTTTGACCCAAAATACAAATATGTTGTCATGACTGATTTCCATCCTCAGAGGCTGTTGTCCAGTTTTTATAATAAGTAAAAAGAAGAAACAAGGGAGGGGGGCTTTGTTGGTGCTTAAAATTTGAAACATGAAAAGAGTGAGAAAAGAGAAAAAGGAAAACAGAGATCTCAGCGAGCTTGTTTTGATTTTTCAACTAAAGATGGACAGCAACTGTAGCATCAGCCTCATTTGGGCTCTTTTGAAATGTGTTTAGTGTAAAAGTTATGAACAATTACCAGTCTGTATGTAGCTTTCTGAACAGCCTCAGTTAGAGGAAACAGTTTGCGTGCAAAACAACGGTTGAGCGAACATTAAATCAGAGCACAGCAATTCATGTAATTGCTTCATTAACATTTACACCGTTACTATTTCTCATTATATAATCGTTTACATGGAAATCTAGTTAGAGAACATTTTCATGATCATTTCTTTACATTTCTGCAGAAACAATCATAATTTTATATGAAAGCGAGGAAGCTGTGTCAAGGTTTCTAAATGGATTTTACATGAACCAGTATGAAAATATGGAGATCCATGTACACCAAACAAGCTGAAGGATGCCATTTCTATTTCTCTAAACAGAAGCTGTTCAGGAAGCTATCCTAGCATGAGAGTAAATATTTATAACATTTATACAGAAACAGGTTTTAAAGTGGCTGAACCATCCCTTTGATTGCTTCACTAACTAGCTCATCCTCTTGAGTAAAACAGCTATTTCAAGTTATACTCAGCATCGACTTCTGGGGTCAAAGGTGACAGCAGGCTGTACAATAGAAGACAATGTTGTGCAATTATCTGTTGCTCAAAGTGAAACACTACACTTAAAGGTTTAAAGGTTGAACAGGTTGGTTTTACAACGCACCCTTTAGGACGGCTTCATCACAGACAGCGATAAGGTTCAGTAATTACACCAATCGTTAGTGACTGGCCTTTGTTCTTCCTACATTAAGAATGTTAATTTAAAGGTTTGGTTGTGCTTTTACATATGTAGAAAGCATTGTGACTACATGTACTTGAGGGCTGATGTATGTATGTGAATCTGAAGAAAGGGCTTGGTAAGGCAGATTGTCTAAAGATAGAGCAAGTGTTGTGTAACATGCCGGTGGAACCTGAGTGGTTGGAATTAACTCTTCCTGACACAGCAACAAACAATCAGGTTAGAAAGGAGCTGATCTTTGTTCTCAACAAAGGACAAAACAGTACAAAAGGAAGCCTTTATTCACGTAGTCACCCAGCCACCTATGTAGAAAGAACGTTTCCAGTTCCCCTGTTTAGTGTAAACAGTCTGAAGAAGCCAACATCCACTACGTTTCTTTATTATCTGAGAGGTTGGATCAACTGTGCACCTGATCTGCTCCATCGCTACGTCTGACAACCAGAAAAGAGTCACTGCAATGTGAGTTTAAAAGGTAATGTGAGGCCATGGGCAATGAAAACAGACACAGGGAGACAGTGTGGATGTGAAATCGTCCAAATTGGAAAGCTTTTGAAGTGTGCCAGCTAAAGCTTTTGTGTATTCAGCTTTTGAGCTCCAAGCTGACATAAAAATGCTTCCAAAATCAGAGCAAAACCATGCAACAAATCCAGTTTGGCTGCTGCTGCTGCAGCAGAGAAGAAATGAGTTTGAATTCATTCGCCTGTTTCTAAAAATACTGAACTCGATGAACTTGTGCCGTCTCTACGTTTGTGTTTTCAAATGTTGAGCTCCCCCTCGCTTCACAAAAACAGGCTGTTATTTCTATCTGTCACACATCT